TGAAAAAATATCTAAATTGCGTGTTGAATAAAAGAATCTTTATTGGACAAATTGTACCTAGACAAACAAATTTTTGATAAAAATGCGCATTTGACGATGCTAATTTCAGGGACCTGGAAATTTTAATGACTTGAAATATGCATGAACAATATCGTTTTAATCAAAAATTTATAGCAAGAAAAGTAACAGAAAGATTTAGATAGTTCTGTAATCTGTTGTGATTCAATTCATAATTTACCTTATAATTATTTTTTTTTACTTTATTCACGTAATCAATCTGTACCTACATTTCATTCAAATTTAACGAGTCAAAATCAAAGCCCAACCATTCATAATAACTTAATAACATCATATTTACCGAGAAATGGTGAAATAAAGTCCATGACCCACTTGCTAATTTCTCTTGAAAATGAACGGTAATTGAATTGTTTGTTGTACATACAATATAATATTTCGTCGTCACGAAACAAAAATTGTTATTTTCATGATTTTAGAACATTCTAGAAAATGGGAACAAAAATTTTGTGACATTAAATACTTAGGTGGTCAATAACTTAAAGTTATTATTGTGTATTCTCCTATTTTTCTATTTCCGCAAGCGTAATTATCAATAATGAAATAAAAAAATTATCAAATGTTTAAAATCTGTGAGAGAAAATCTTTGAATTTTTCAACAAGTTGATAATGGATAATTAACCATAGAAATAGTATAATTAACTGCTTTTTGCGAGATTCAACGCCGCCGTAGTAGATCAACAGCTTTTATTTAAATACAATAATCAATTAAATTTGAATTGCAAAGCAACAGTAACCATTATTCAGTCATTTTATTGGTTTTTATTGCCACCAGCGAAATTATGTTTTGGAATAAAAATGTCAATTGCCAATCGATTATGTTCGTGAATAATTACGTTCATTAACGTTACGAATTGTTTGTACAGGGCGAGACAATATATAGATGCATAATTGAAACTTTGAAATAATCGATCAAAAAGGTATTATTAGTATTTTTTATTTTTAAATAAACAAATAAATGTTATTGCCAAAACTACAAACTTACATTTGTTTATATATTATACTAATTTAACACAAAAAAATAAAACAAATAAGTCTAAAAAAAATTATTAAAGAATTAAAAAATAGATCTAATTTAATGTCTTTTTTTTAACAGCCTTTTGAGAATATACAATACAAATATTAGGGTTAAAATCAAGAAATTAATTTAAATACTAAAATTAATTTTATAGTAAAATCTTTTTCATATGATATTTCAGTTTTATTGCTAGCAAATCTCTTAGGTTACTTTGTAGCTTATTTAAAAGTTTTATTGCCAAACGATTTAATGGTTGCTGAATTTGTGATAGTCTGTGAAAAAGTATACAATAAAGTCCTGTCTGCCTAGTGTTATAATAATTATGTGGATCTAATTGACAGACAAATTAGTATTTTCCTTAATAAACAGATTATAGTTTAAGTTAAACATAGATGGCAAAGTAAGAATAGTAAATGTCTTAAATAATGGTTTACAATTACAATCCCATTACAATGTTTAATTTGAAATGCCTTAGCCAATGTATGAATAACCTTTAATTTAAATGAATCCCCTGGTATTCCAACCAGAGGTAGGGATCTTTAATGAACCCAACATCCATGGACTCAGGACTGACGGCTTTACATCTCCTCCAAAAAGATGGCACACCCCACGCTATTCCACATACTCATTGATGTAATATATAACACCTTCCCACTGTGGTATGCAACTAAGTGAGCAGTTTGTTTGGACGTACGCCGACTTTCATTGAAATAGTCACCCACTCAACTACTAACTTGTGCTGGACCAATTTTTATCTCTACTTATCCCAGTTGAGCTTTGATCTTTACATTTTTCCAAGTGTGATCATTAAACATTATAATGGTGTCATCTGAATAAGACATCACTGTTCCATTAACTTGTCTTTAATAAAGAGTTTACATATGCCTACTAAGAACAGGATTGGTCTAAGAGCAGTTCCTTGGGGATGCCTATTTTTACTTCTTCTGGGCCACTTAGCATATCTTTCATTTTAACGATTTGTTTCCTTTGAGGTAGATAAATCTTTAGAAGTTTCAACACAATATCACTCTATATTTATATATATTATCAACTATCACTAAATATAAATAAAACTCGCTATATTGCTTTTAGTCTTACAGATGCAAATAGACCTTGCTTTACTAATATCAAAATTAAAGGTATGAATGAGGCAATCAAAGAAACAAATGAGATCAAGTACTTGGGAATAATCATTGACCAACATTTAAAATGGAGTAACCATATTGATTACCTGACAAAGAAAGTAAGGAAACTCATTTATAAATTCTATCAATTACGTGAAATTTTGTCAGAAACATTGCTATTGTTAGTGTACAAATCTCTTGCTGAATCATTATTTCGTTACGGTATTCTAGTATGGGGTGGATTGTATAAGAACTCTTTACAAAAGCTGAATGTTACACAAAATTATATTTTAAAAATTATTTATAGCCGAAATAAATGTTATCACACTAACTTGCTGTATACAGAAGATATTTGTAATATTAGATCGCTTTACTTTCACAGCCTTTGTATATATGCTTTTAACAACAAGTCTAAACAAAATTACGTAACTTCTATGTATAGCAATAAACAAATCGTCAGTTTTTAAGAAAAACTTTAACACCCTGTATTCGGAAAACGAAGCATTTTCAGACATACGTTTATATAGCAAACTGTCATTATTTTTTCATGCTGAATCACCCCCTGAAGTTTGTCGCACTTATTTACTAATATATCCGATATATTCAATAATTTTATTTATTTAATTAAAAATGTTTTCCACCATTCTGAACATCCGAAAATGTCAATACGCCCTTGAATAAAAGTATAACAACTAGCCATTTATATGTGTTTGTGTTAAAATATTAATGTTAATAAAATAATGTTAAAATATGTTTTTTTATTAATTTTGTTTTTTCTTTTTAATCTGTGTTAAAATAAACAGTTTTGTTGTTTAGAATATAGGTTTTTGTTAATATGTTTGTGTTAAAATTTAAAATATAGTTTGTGCAAGAAACAATACTGTTTTTAATGAAATAATTAAATTTAAAAAATTATATATATATATATATATCGGATACATATCATTTGATATGATATTTATATAAATATCATGATATTTTCGAACCCTGATATTTGTTCAAGATCATTTAGGAGTGTATAATGAGATACTGTGTCAAAGGCTTTTGCCAGATCAAAAAATACTGTTACACATTTATCACCTTTGTCTAGGTTAATTTTAATTTATCAGTTCAAACATTGCATCACACATGCTCATGTTTAAACACATATTGATTTTCACTTAGTAAGTGGGTATATCAATTTTTATTAGATATAATTATTCAATCTTACCTTTAAACATTTTTAATTTTTTTGCTGTGGGATTTACAAGACTAATTGGTCTATAATTTGTTATTTAGTTTTGATTTCCATTTTTGTATATCCGAGAAATTATTAATATTTTCAGTTGTTCTGGACCTTCTCCACTTTGAATAAATTAAATTGATAATGTGAACAAGAGGTGTTAAAATGTAGTTGCAATATTGGTCCAATGATTGAATCTTGTGGTACACCTATCTCTACAGGTTTTATAGTACCTAGATAGGTATCTCATCATTTGGTAGACTGACTAGTACTTTGAAAACATATTTTTTTATAGAGGAATAGCATTGCATAGTAAAATAGATATTTTATTTTTCACATAAAGTCGAGCATAAAGTCATTGCAGTGATGATAACAAACTTGAGAAATATTTATGAAGTTTTAATTACCATATCCTTGCTTGTATTTTGTTTTAATTATTTTCAGAAATAAAGCTTATTTTATTTGTAAAGAATAAATGAATGATACATTTTTTAAGAGTCACTGCTTTAAATTTAAATTACTGACATTGCCAGTTTATAAAAACAGTAAATAAGAAAGGCTTCAAAATGTTTCATTGAGACACTTCCTGGCATGCTGGAGGTCATACTGATATTGAAATAGATTTTTCATTAGAGTATTGATTATAAATAATAACTATTAAAACATATTTTCATAACTCATTTAAGTACCTAGAGGTGGATAGGTATCATCAAAATTTGCCAAGATAATAAAGTAAGCATAAAAACAGGAAATTGTACTATATGAATATAAAATGTTTGATATGTCATAATTCTACCTCCTGTTACAAATATATATGTATTTTTGCTTATTTTACTTCAAAACCTGTAAGATCTCAACCTTTATACATGCACATGCTATTAAGTATCATAAACAAGCCTGTTTTTGAAGTATCATCAACAAATCACTTTGTGTTTTTTCATTCAAGGTCTATGTAATAACTTTAACTTTAATGAAACAACTTAAAAGTATATGTTTAAATCCAAAAAGCAGTCAGAAATATATGATAGTGCCTTATTTATTTTACTATATTAAAATTTGGGACAGTATTTAAATAGAATTGTGTCTATGGAAAAGTAATCTTTAAAATTGTAATATTAACATTTATATTCCAAAATAAAGATATTTGGAGTTCCAAAATACTTTCATTACTATATGTAACAATTGTAATTATATAAAGGCTCTATTGTTAACTTTATCAGTAGGAAAATATCTAAATACCAATGTTATGCATATTTTCTTTCAAGTATTTATGTTTAACTGTTCATAAGGTATGTTAATGACTAAATTCAAAAAGTATGTCAAGAGTTTCTAACACAAATGTAACTATTACGTATATATTAAAGTTAATCCTTAGAAGAGGAATTTTTAATTAATTAGTCACGGTAAAACGATTTATAGAAACAAAACAAAGACTCATATATCTTCCATAAATTATCCATAAAACATGAAAAAAAAAAATATTTAAAAAGAATCGAGTACATTATCCAAAACAATGGAAAATACTGAATTTCATTGTGCTATTTTTATTAATAGAACTTACCATCTATTTCTTCGGTCTCTGATGATTCACGGTATCCTGGAATATCCTTGGAGCTGTTCATATTCGTCATTTGAATTGTATCCATAGTTTGAATAGATTCGATTGTGTCTCCAGAAGCCATTTTGCTAGCTGGGACTAATTTAATTTAGAAATCAAAGGCTGATTTCATTAAAACACCACACTAATACAACATTTAAACCGGACTAATTATTTCACGTTGAGAACATCAGAAAAGTGTAAAATCCGTTTACTTACACTCCACACCTTTCGACTGACTGAACTTTGACATGTCAATATTGACTTGTGTTTTAACTGTCAGATAAATGACATTAAAAAAAATATATCTTCTATCTTGCCTGATACACGCTTTCCAACAGTCCATAGGAATTAAAAAGAAGATAAATATTCTTTGTAGTGCCATCTAGTGTACGATAGATATGTCAGTAATTAGAAGCTTCTAGGAAACTTTCACAGTTTTAGCAATGTTGCCAATTTTGTTCAAAATCGGAAACATCAGGAACTATCCTTCCTCCATGTTAAAAATTTTCCTTTTTCATACCTACACTACAAATTACGAATTTTTTACTTTCCTATCTGTATATAGATAAGAAAAGTATGGGAATCATGATTTTTTTCGACCTCGAGTTTTCGACGGTTTTTTACGTTTTGGGGTCCCCTGAATCCGTTTTGACTATTTTCGCGATGTCTGATACAAAGAAAAACGCCAAATTTTAAACTTAAGCTTTATTTCGGCCTCCAGTGAACTGATTAGATTTTGGACAGAGTCGGAACATCTGGGGGATACGTTATAGTTGGTCATTTTTATACTTTATGGAATATATCTGTTATTTACGTTTAAAGAAAATTCTTCAAACAAAAGTTACTTATAATATTATTATCTATAATTTTTGTTCTATACAAAATTTTCCTAAAATGATCCGTATTCAAAAATTTGACAAAATGTGCAAAATTCTGATTAACAAAATTGTTAAACTAAAAATTGTTTGCGATATTGATCTCTATAATTTTTGTTTTTTACATGTTTTTTCTAAAATAGACCGTAATGGAAAAATTGGAGGAAAAGTGCTATATTTAAATTTTTCAGTATTTTCGTTTTCAAAGAATATCTATAGAACGTTTTGAGTTAGATGTACGTGGAAAATGTATATATTTAGTTTATCCTCTAAACATTTATAGAGGTGCTGCAATAGGTTGTACAAAATAACCGGAAAAAGCCTATAATAACTAGAAAGGAAAGTCATGTGTTTGACACATCAGATTTTTATTGTTCAGAAAATGAATAAAACACAAATAGGACTAAGTAAGAAATTTAATTTATAAAAAAAACGCACAAATCTAAGCATAGTAATTAAGATTTGCCTTCTTCTTGGCTTGCACTTCCATTATAGCATCCATATAATCTTCATGTGTGACGGCATTAGCGTTACGTCTCAAAGCAATCATACCAGCTTCAACACACACAGCCTTGCACTGGGCTCCATTAAAGTCATCTGTAGACCTAGCCAGTTCTTCAAAATTCACATCAGGATTGACAGTCATTTTCCTGGAGTGAATCTGCATGATTCTAGCCCTCGCTTCTTCATTGGGATGCGGGAATTCTATCTTTCTGTCTAATCTACCAGATCGAAGCAGAGCAGGGTCTAAAATATCGACACGATTGGTAGCAGCTATCACTTTGATATCGGCGGTTGAACTGAACCCATCCAGCTGGTTCAGCAACTCCAACATAGTACGTTGCACTTCCCTGTCACCCGCTTTCTCAGAATCGAATCTTTTTGTGCCTATTGCGTCCAGTTCATCGATAAATATGATAGCGGGAGATTTTTCTTTGGCTAAAGCGAATGCATCTCTCACAAGCTTGGCGCCGTCACCGATAAACATCTGGACTAATTGGGGGCCAGCTAATTTTAAGAAGGTTGATTTTGTTTGAGCTGCACATGCTCTGGCAAGGAGGGTTTTTCCAGTTCCAGGTGGCCCGTATAGTAAAACGCCTATAAAAACAAATACGATTTAGTTTATTTGATAGCCAAGAATTTTTTATATCAGGATTAATTTACATTAAATCACCAGGTTTACTGTCAAGGAATTTCTCAATGTGGAACCATGAGATTTGCTTTCTTGTATTGTTAGTTGCATCATATGTATTATTTTATTGTAAAATAGAACATATTAATTATTTATTCTCAAATTATATTGCTCATTAAATTTATTTAGTTTTTAAAAAAAGTGGGTTATTTTGTCATGTATTGTGTTTTAATTATTTTGTGCTGATTTAGAATGGAAAATAAGAACCAAAACAACATTATTACTAGGTTGTAAATGCAACCAAATTCTATTTTTATAAATCAACCTACTCTTCTTTGATATAAACTTTCAATAACAATGTATATCGTCAGCTTAACATGCAAATGTTCTAAGTCCAAAAATATTAAAATTTAATAGTAAAGGTAGTAGGTACCATAAAATTGTCCTTTTATTACTTTAGTATCTAGAAAATAATTCATAATAGGTCCTCTTACTATTTTTTAATATCTACAAAGTTTTTTCACTCAAATTATTATGTCACAACAAACAAAACGATTTTTTCAGAACTGTGTAAAATTTATATTTTGGGGCTTACGACGCGATATATTGAATTTAAAACCAAAAAAGGTTTATTTTTATTTATTTTCTTTTGGCAATGATGACATAATGAATTTTTCGTAATCAGTTTCATATAATGTTCAACATTAGGCAACTGGTTGCGTAAAGTAGATCATTTTGACACTTGCTGCGATTAGAAGAAAATGTCACTTTATATATCAAAATCTAAAAAAATTATTTAAATGTTAAATGGTAAGACTATGAAGATAATATCATCTTAAAATCAGCATATTTAAAAGCAGTTTAACAATAATTACAATAGCATTATTTATCAGGGCTGGTATATCTAAGGGGGTCGCGACATAGACCCAGTAAATGGATGAGGGGGTGACTGAGGCTAGGGGGGAAATAGTAGTCAGCTTAAGTTGGCAACACTTTTCTGATGTTCGTTTGAACGAGCATCGTGCATAATAATAGGTCTGTTCGGGTTCTTTAAAATACATTGAAAACTATCAGAGGACTAGTTGACCAGTGGACAGTTTAATAGTTGTGTGCGACGTATACTTTAGAAATGAACTGTTCCACTAGTTCTCGGACGGTTTGCGTCGAGTTTTAAGGAAACCCGAACAAGCCTAATGTCAATATGGTACAAGTGGAATGAACCACTGTTTTCCTCGTAGTCGTCCAATGTCGAATTAAAACATTTTGTACTTTTTTATATACCAAATTAGGCAATTTGTTTCCACTTTATTTTTTTTTTTTTTTATTTGGTGTACGGCTTCAACATCTAAGGTCATTAGCCTAGTGTTCTATGTAGGTTATGGATTGTATTAGTAGTCTAATACTCCATAGTGCAGGAGTATTAGTACTCTAATACTCCTACACCCCTACAGACAGGCCTTGTTACTGTTTCCTTGCGCCACTTTAGGAACAGCACTGTTAATTAGAACCCAACAGTGAATGGTCGAGTGGGGAATCCTACCAAGGCATCAGAATTAATTTTAAATAATTAAATTAAATAAAAAAATCCCGGCCAACGGTGGGATCCACTTTATTTTAATGTTACATGAATAGGTACATGCGTTTGTGCTGTGGTAAATAAGTGTTCATGTGAAAATTATATCTTAAACTACATTGTGACTGCACTCATCTCGAAACTGAATGCTGTAAATCCAGGATTTAAATCTTTCATAGTGTTGCTTGGGATAAATTGTAAAAAAAGTGTTGGACAAAACCATTATTAAAGAGAAATTAGTTATCATCAATAAGATATTTTGTAGTAGCTGGTCTCTATAAATAATAAACTTGAAAGACTGAATTAGTAGTTACTTTTACACTAGAAGTAAAAACAAACAAAAATGTGTGGTTGAGACTAATTTGTGTATTTAATAAAAACATATTTAACATAAAAGCAGGTGTTATTTGAAATGTTTTATTTTAATAATCTTTATAAATTGTGGGTACATTTGATCCAAATCTTGCAAATACTATAAAATGCATATGCTTCTATATGGTTAGTATTGGAGTAGAAGCACAAAAGTTTTGAATAAAAATATATTCTTTAAATACAATATTCACTAGATATGCTAATTTTCTATTCGAAACCATACATGTTTTCTATTATAGTTTTCATATGTTTATAATTCTGGAGATACCGGAATATTTTGCTTGATTACTAAACTTTGGATGTTTTTGTTGTAGTCTGCTGTTAACACTATTGTCCTGAAATATTAAAAAAGCTAGACAAAGGTTTGTCCAACTCTTTTGTCAGCTTTGTTAATCTATGCTACTGTTATTCTGCATGCAGACATTTTTTACTGGAGATTTTCTCTAAGAACTGTATTCAGTTTCAAATGTCGTCCAGTTTTAGGAAAGTACCTCTGTTGTAAAGGTATTTTAAAGCCAAAAGCCATCCTTTGTGAGATGTAGACAACAAATACATGCTAAAATGTATAGAAAACAAATCGCAAGATATTACACAAAATTATTTAAATTAACTAAAAACATACAAAACATACAAATGAAGTGAATAATACCTACCAACAATTTAAAAAGACCTAAAATAAAATAGACTTAAGGGATTGGAGCTCTAAAAAAGGGAGCAATAATTTGTTATGCATCATCTATAAGAAAATTGTCTTCATCTCTTCAATTACCTTTTAAAATAAACAAAACCAAAACAGCACAAAATTAAAAGTGATCTACTTTTCGCGACGTATTCTATGTACATCTGAGATTAATAATTTATTAAATTGAAATATTTTATCCTAAAAAATATGGGCATTTTATAATGGAAATGTCATTTAAAAAATGACATTGATTTTTTTTCTTATATTGGTAAACCTGGCGACTACAAGTTGCCACGTTGCCAGATCAATGGCGACTACTATTTCGAAAAAAATGGCGTCCAAAATGGACTCCTATGTCGCGACCCCCTTAGATATACCAGCCCTGTTATTTATCACATATTATATTAAAAGGTTTATTTTTATACAAAACATTGTTTAACCATGTGTAACTGGATCAAAAACAGGAAAATATGCCTTTTTTATTTTTATACTTTAAAACTCATATTTACTAATGGGAAATAAAATGTTTTTTAATAATGAGACCTAACTTATTTTTTAACACTCAAAGGTCTCAAAATAATTGTCCTAGTACACAAAAAGATGGTTAATAAATTTTTCCATCCTTAAAAATAGGGGTGTTAAAGCTCTTGGGCTCTAATCAGATTGTTAATGCCAAAAATTATGTCTCATCAAATTGATATTAAAATATTCTTGAGATTTAGATTCAACAAAAATAGCTGATTATTATCAAAGTCTTGGTATATTACCCTTGAGTATAGTTACAAGTATTGTTTATGGTTATAATTCGGTATTTACTAAACATAACTAAAGTGCACAAAAGGCTTTCAAAATTACATTAGGATGCCAGTTATCAGTTTAATTTATTTTTCTCCTTGCAACTATCATAGTTGAATGCATTTTCCAGGAAAGAAGGCAATGTATTTTGAAGTGTGATAGCAGCATAAAAGAAGCGTCAGACTAAATACCGATTCATTTATAAAACGAATGCTCACTCTTCAGATAAAGAACATCGCACAAACCATCTCCACTCAAATTAGCAAAGCTTAATTATTAATAAGTCTAGTAGTTTTTGTCCTTGTTAACTCTCCATTTAGCTACACAAAAAAGGACACCATTTATTTATTAATTTAACTTACCTTTTGGGGGATGAATACCCAAATTAACAAATTTATCTTTATGGGTCATTGGTAACACAACAGCTTCAATCAGTTCTTGGATTTGTTTATCTAAACCTCCAATATCTGAGTACTGTTCAGCAGGTCTCTCATCCACCTCCATAGCTTTAACTCTGGCATCGTACTCGGCAGGCAGCGTTTCCAAAATGAGATAAGAGTCTTTGTTGACACCAACTAAATCACCAGGCTTCAACTTTTCCTCATCAACCAGCCCTATAACTGGCAGAAAGTAAGTTTGGCGGGTTGATGTTTTAACTACTGCACATTTTCCTTTTCTTTGAGAATCCAAATCTACCACTGCACCGTCTTCTTCCTCTTCCTGGGGGTCGACATCTAACAGTTCTATCACGTTAGACACCAAATAAGGCAACGTTTTATTTACTTTTATTTTTTCCGTGTTCTCTTTGATCTTCTCATTCTGTGCTTGTAATTCGTGATTTATTCTCATTACTTCACTCTTCATTATTTTGATCTCATTGTCCAATAAACGAGTACGACTAACTATTTCATCGGTAGACATTCTGAGAACTTCTTCACCTAGCGCTTCTTCGCCGTCTTCCCAGATCGATTTATCTTCTAAAGTCGACATTTTTTATTAAATTTAAATTCCTTTCTTCAATAAATTAATCTTAGCTCTGTCTTAGCTGAGTTAAATACTTTAAATCTCAACCTAACCTTAAATGTCAAACAGAAACGTACACAAAAAGCAAGTCATCACTGATATTAGGTCTGTTCTGGTTTTGAGAAATAACGATCCACAACTGTCGGGCTCATGCGCAGTAGATAAAAAGTGTTCTGGTTTTTCTGGGACTACTTCGGATCTCTCAGTCCAGTGTTCTGGTTTCGTATCCGAAATAATCCGTGATTGTTGTAAACAGTCAAAAAGTGTTCATGCTTGGGAGTGTGGATCGACTCGGACTGTTTTGACCGCGCATGCGTTTTTGAAGTGTTATGAATATTGTATTGGCTTTTTAGACCATACGAAACGTATACAATCCCAAATTGTTTATTTATATGTGGACGAATGTCTCTTGTTCTTGTTTTATTTGTAAATTGTAAGGTTTGTTCTGGTTCTCAAAATGAAAACTGTTTTGAAACTGCGCCGGACCGTATGCGTAAAGACAAAAAATCCCCGACTGTTTGTAATTCTTGGAAAACCAGAACACGTCATAAAGGTGTTTTGTTTATTGTTTATTATAATAATGAAGTTCCTTTTAAAAGCTCAGCTTCAAATAACATTTGCATGTATATGTTTATCATTATCATCACATTTCTATGGAATAAATAAAAACAGAATATTAAAAAATTAATAATTCTAAAATTGCTTTCATTTACAAATAAAACAAGAACAAGAGACATTCGTCCACATATAAATAAACAATTTGGGATTGTATACGTTTCGTATAGTCTAAAAAGCCAATGCAATATTCATAACACTTCAAAAACGCATGCGCGGTCAAAACAGTCCGAGTCGATCCACACTCCCAAGCATGAACACTTTTTGACTGTTTACAACAATCACGGATTATTTCGGATACGAAACCAGAACACCGGACTGAGAGATCCGAAGTAGTCCCAGAAAAACCAGAACACTTTTTATCTACTGCGCATGAGCCCGACAGTTGTGGATCGTTATTTCTCAAAACCAGAACAGACCTAAAGCAATTTTAGAATTATTAATTTTTTAATATTCTGTTTTTATTTATTCCATTGAAATGTGATGATAATGATAAACATATACATGCAAATGTTATTTGAAGCTGAGCTTTCAAAAGGAACTTCATTATTATAATAAACAATAAACAAAACACCTTCATGACGTGTTCTGGTTTTCCAAGAATTTCAAACAGTCGGGGATTTTTTGCCTTTACGCATACGGTCCGGCGCAGTTACAAAACAGTTTTCATTTTGAGAACCTAGTGAACCTAGTGAATTCGATTGTCTTTTGATGATAAAAATGATTGTTCATCACATATTAGTTCATAAAATTAAAAAGAGAAAACTACTATTGAAATCAGTTGGGTAGTGATAATTGATTAAACAGAATCGATTGTTTTTTTGACAGAATCGATATTATTGTATGATAAGGATATTTATTGTAACGAGATTGTAACGAAATATTTGTTCTTTGTTTAGAAAAGTTAATAAGAATGAAAAAGTCGATTTGAAGTCAAACATCCAATACATGATCAAATAGTCAAACTCAATTATTTTCGTTTCGATTCCATATGTCATTTCTGTCAATCTATTTATTTTATTTTGCATTGGCAACAGTGTTTTTTAAAGAATTCTACTTCTTCATTGGACAAGCAAAAACGGGGTGTGATCCTGCGCCATGCCGATGACTCCGGTTGTTGATCTATAAAATTGTCAAGACTCAAGACCGAAAAAGTGTATATGTGATACAAAAAAAAGTTTGTTTTTATTATAATGTAATTGTGCACTAAATAGTACTAAATACTAAAGACAATGAATGGAAATACGTTTCGGCAGTTTGTGTTTGTAAACAAACACGATAATGAAGCTGTTGTGGATTAAAAAAATTTATTATTTTAGTTGTCTTGTTATGCAAAAAATGACAAACAGAATGAATAAATCGGAAAAAATAAGCTAATTTATTAGTATTCCGTAATTATTCTATCTTTTTATCGGGTAAGTAAACAAACTTAATTCATTATTAGATATTCGTATGGATTATTTGATAAGAATTTCCGAACTACAAAATATGGTATTTAAATTATTTTAGTCAATGAAAACTAATAACTGAATAAGGGTGTGATATAATATTAACCCCTTGGGTATCGTAATCATAAAGGCTGAGGTCATATTGCTTTTGTTGATTAAATATTTGGTGTAATTACAGTAAATTAACCAGTGGCGGCTCGTGGTAATTTGAAATGGGTGTTCACTTTTTCCAATAATTTGATCATTTTTGTAAGTTCAGTCCAAAACTTTGTACAAGAGCCAATATCGCTGTTTTTTTATTATTTGAGTTTGTATTAAATGAAGTTATTATCAACATCATACTATTTTCAAGCACTATAACTATTAATAAATGAATATTTTAGTTAGTGGGATATTTGTTTTGTTTTTAATACATTGAAAACCACCTATAAACATTATTAGTTAGTAAACTGACTTTTTTTCATAATTTGAGATTATTTTTAAATATATATAAGGTTATGTAGAAAGCTTGACATTGATTTTTGTGTAAAAAATATTATATGAAACTTTACCTACCATTTTTCAGTTTTTATGGTAAATTTGATCATTTTCACATTTTGTCACAGATTTCAAATAAAAAATATATTTTTTAAATACCTTTTAAAATAATAACTTTTAAATAAAATAAGAACTAAAATGTTTTAAATGTTTATTTTATGAGATCAGTCCCATCAAAATACATACTATTACACAAATACAAACTAGAATAAAGATATATAATGCCTGGCATTTTAAATGATACTCTTCGCAGTTTAACAGACTCCCTTAACTACCCATTTTATACCAGATTGTTTTCACAATCAATAGGCATCATCTCCTTGTAGGGCTTGATTTTTACTAAAAATTTCATGTTGATATCGCTTTTCATTTTTGATTTTTTGTTTTAATTTTAACCCCCTTAAATCCCCCATATTTAATTAGATTTTTTATAATTAAAGGTAGTGGCGGCTCGTTATAATTAACACAATGTCGGGTACAATATTATTTCCTCGATTAATACAGTGCAAGAAAGAAACGTCAAGTTTAAATTATAGAAATAATGCAAAAACATGCTTACCTAATAATCAGTGTCAGGTTTTTGATCGATTCATTGGGTAGTTCAGTAGTTTAATAATACTAATAAGTGTTTTTTAATTTTTGCTGATAAATGAGATAAATCCCTAACACCCATTTTTGTCCTTTCTGATTTAGTATTTTCATTGTTTGCAAATACTAAACAAGGAAAACAAAACAAAGCATTTTGTTTATCACACCCGCACAACCACGAAGTTTTTTTATATTGTTCAATCTTAAAAGTATGTTTAAACTTTCTTTTTCTTATGGCACATTCTTGAACAATGTTTATCTCCGACCGAGGTGGGCCATTCTTTTTTATGAGCACTCGATTCTCGAAATTATGTCTATTTGTTTTTATAAATTTCACTGAATACGATTTCATCGTACATAAACACTAGAAAATTCACACAGAACCTGAGACCAGTACAGCCAACCTCAAAACAACGAAAATTCGGTTCACGGAACACAAAAATCCATAAAACGTATAATTTGTAAAGTGATCTCGTGTATCACTGAGTGTATTCTTACTTTCTTCTTTTATATATCGATAAACAAGGATACAAATATATTCAAGTCCATATTTATAAACAGAACTGAGTCGGAGTTGGGTAAGTCGTCCTTGAACTAAAATCAAAGTTCGGTTACAAGGTCTTTAAAGTTCCAAGTGGTTCCGGTGTCACACTAGAATTTAGAGATGGATATTAGCAAATCTGTAAGTGTTAAGTAGATACATTTACGGATTACTACTCATCTCTAAATTCGCGCGATATAACCGATCCCCAGGTAGACGGAATGACAGTTTGTTTGATTTGGTACAGTGTCGCCAGAACATGTTTTTGTTATGTACCAGGTTTGTCTAAAAAATGTACCAGATTCCTTAAATGAACCAAATTTTTCGAATTCTATTTGCAGTGACATCTAATTTATTGAAGAGGAAAAAAGGGGGTTTTTATAGATAACGAACCCAAACAAGGAACACAATATATTTTACACGTGAACACTGCCTCAAGCAGAATGTACTACATCTAGTACAATTGTGAATTGTACTAGACTGGCAACCTTGTTTGTGAGCGGCGCGCCAATTAATGTGTTCTTTTGACGTTTGAAGGATATGTTGGCGTGTTGTTTTCTCTTTTTAACTTTATGCATTCATCAAATCGTCTCACTCGTGTTAGGCTCACTCACCATAATGCGCCACAGACACAGTATACTTAGGTATTCTGTGCCACAGAGACGCGATCAGCCAGAGGGCAATGATGTATTAAAAAATATAGATTAACACGATTGAAAATAAAAATATTAAAATTAAATTTATATTTTTATGATATTTATGTAATTTTAAAATAATGTGTTTTTATGAAATTTAACTGGGTGTTCACTGCACAAATGAACCAATGGAGGAACCGCCCCTGAAATTAACCCTATTCAAATTATAATTTTTGCAGATACATTTTTCACTGTATAAAAATAATACCCATTTGAAAACAAAATTTATTATGTGTCATACATGTACACTAATGGAAAATGTTTAGAATGGTATTCAATTAATTTCTATATTTTCAAAAGATTCTTGTTTTTACTTATATGTTTTTACATATTTTATTCTAAAATGAGGAACACCTAGTTGAATTTATTGGGTTTTAACGATTTGCAAACTCATATGATTAGAAAAAGAAAGATTTAGAGCCATTAAACAGTATCAGATTTTATTTATTCTTCGATTTATTCCTCATATAGGTGTGTTGCTAGTACTTTAATAGAACTATGTACCATTGTGATTTTTTAATTTTATGTTAAACAGCTGTTTGTTTACAAACATAAATAATGATTTAGGTTTCAGAATGTAATAAACATATTATTTCAGCAGAATTGATTATACAAAAAAAAATTATAAAAGATAAGTGTAATTTACACTATTTTTAGTTGTAAGAACGTTGCTCTTATGACCTTTTAGTTGTCACTACTTTGCTACTTGTGACCTTTTATTTAAATACTAGCATTCCCGAATATTAAATGTGATGTAAATCAACCCAAGCAAATTTCTTTCAATATAAGCAATAATTTAAATTATCAGATTTGATACAGAAACAACATTTTTGTGGTTTCAAAATTCTGGTCCTCAGTAAATAAAATATATATTTTCCTGTTAGTTTAAGTTAAAATTACATTTAATTATCATTAGTAAGCTCTAACATCTGTTACAGAATCACTAATGTAATATTCTAAATTAGTGCTAAAAATAGATACATGCCAACATCCATTTTTGCATAAAAATATCTTGTTATCTTATAACATGAATATTATTTCCATAAAAATAATTTAATATATATGGTGTCAATGACATTAATTTTTGTTTATTTTTACATTATATTTCAGATAAGATTTAAAAATATAAAACTAGATAATGAGTGTCCTGCTTTTACAATTTTTACTTTAATTTCCAGCAATTCTCTACCATGAATGTTTTGAAGCTTGAGTAATCCATAATTTGTCATAAAAAAGGAGATTCATTAGTTATATATTCTCTCAAACTTGTTAGTTAACATGAAGACTAGTACTATTTCAATATTGATATGTTTTTCAACTGTTTTATGATTATTAGTTGATTAAATGCCACAGACTATTAGTGATAAAAATAACTAACATTTTTAAAATACACAGTGAAATGTAGAAATATGACAAATATGGCATACATACCAGTACTGCTTCAATCTAAAAAAAAAGTTGTTGTTTTTGGTAACTTGAAGGTATTCACTGCCACAGAATTATTAATATCTTATATATTAATATTTTAAGTGGAACTATTCAAAAGGTAGCAGCAATATTAATTTTCAAAATATTAAGCAAAAATAAAAAGTATATTATATTTTTCCAAGTTTTCCGATATTTAAGGTTATTTATTATAACAAATGTTTGAATTACTGAAAAATATGGTAAATTTCAATTTCATATGTATCCATGTTTACAAAATAAATCTCATGTAGTCTATTTATCCATATAAACACTAGATATGTAATGCATGAGTACCGAGATGAGTACCTTTTACTACAGCAAATGTGAGAGCAAATGTTTTGTCTCATCATCTCCAGGATATTTTGCCTATTGTTGTTGTTTATCCTGTCATAAACATAGGTGGGTAAAATAAAAATCAATAAAGGTTTAATTAAAAATTGTTCAATAAAATATGAAGATCATTAAATTTTAATAAAAATTCGATACACCAAGTTGGTGATTCTCACTCATAGCATAAAAGAAACGGGAACCATTTCTTGCCGCCTTTTCAGTGGGGTTTGTAAATTGTTTGAATAATTTATGTAAAATATTTGGGCCTTTTACCCCTTAAATGTGTCCATGTAAAAATATTTGGTACCTTTACTCTATAAGCATGCCAGTGTAAAAATATTTGGTTATTTTACCCATTACACCTGCCCATCTAATAGTATTTGTACCATTTATACCTTAAAATATATGGCCTCTTATCCCTTAAGCCAGCCCATAAAAAAATATGTTTGGGTTTGTTTTCAACATAAAATAGGGTTATTGAAAACATGAAACAAATAAAAACTGCACCAATTTCAAATCTTACAAGCAAAGATAGAATAGAATAATTTTTTATCAACCTTCATTACATAAAAAGATATACAATGCAAGTCATACAATATATATATATAATGTAAAATTAAACAACAACAATAATAATAAGGATCGAAATCCACCGTTGGCCAGGATTTTTTCATTTAATTTAATTATTTAAAATTAATTCTGGTGCCTTGGTAGGATTCCCCACTCGACCATTCACTGTTGGGTTCTAATTAACAGTGCTGTTCCTAAAGTGGCGCTGGGAAACAGTAACAAAGCCTAAACAGAACACGAGGCAAATGGCCGTAGTAGTCGACGCCGATGACACCAAATAAAAAAAAAAAAAAAATAATAATTTATTTTTGCAGACCTGTATATCACACTGTTTTATTGAGAAATTCGGTAATAGAGTAAAAAGGGCTTTTTTGTAGATACATTTTAACTTTTTTATTTAAAGACTCATATGTTGGTTGTAGTGTTAGTTCTTCAGGCAAAGCATTATAGAGAGTAATACAGTTATACAAAGGAGACCTTCTCAAAGTCGATAGGATGCAATCTATTTCTAAAGACTATTCCAGTTTCATGTTGACGACAAAATGTAGGCAATATTATTATTTATCTAGTGTTTATATGTAAGTTTACGTGTACATATGTACAAAGTGCAACTCAGAGTCAGAGCGATGCTAAATTTTAAATACCTTAGATTAAAGAGACCAGATTCTACTCTTTGACAGAGATGTAGAGTCTGCTTGGATAAAGGAAACACACAGAAAACAGCTTTTTGATAATCAATGATATCCATATTTTTAACCGACTTCAAAAAAGGAGGAGGTTATCAATTCGTCGCGATTTTTTTTTTTTATGTTCAGCGATTATTCTTTAACACGGTGTCCGATTTCAATGATTCTTTTTTTGTTAGAAAGAGGGTACTTCAGGGGTGGTCCCATATAAATTTAGTCAAAATCTAATAATTGGGTCTACGAGAAAATCCTCAAACTCTTCATTTTTTTATATATGTTTAGCGATAATGCTTTACCACCTTGTCCGATTTATATGATTCTTTTTTTGTTAGTAAGGGGGTACCTCAGGGGTGGTCCCATATAAATTTGGTTAAGATGTGGTGATGGCATCTGCACGTTTTTGAAGTCGGTTTTTTTAAATTTTTAATTTCTAATACTTGTATCATAGATGAATCCCTTTGGCGTCCACACAACAAAATAACAAAATTCTCTATTTGTTACATGTAATTGGCCATGTACTTGATAATAGTAATTATGTTTTTTTTTTTAAATGAAATTGTTCTTGTGTGATTTCTGTTAAACAGCTCTCTATGGAAATGTTATTAATTTAAAATATATTTCACACATTTATTTGTGTACTTTTTTTTTCTTCTACATAGTGTGTTTATTTGTATGTCAATGTTCTAATTTTTTTCTTTATATTTTATTAGTGTACCATATATGTGAGAATGTCAAATCTTGTTTTATATGTAGGTATATATTTGTAATTTAGCTTAGAATAATTTAATGAATAGTGACATATAAGAATCGGTCTTAATGATCTAATACCATACCTAATATTCTAATATTTGCCGATTGTTGTAAAATAAATTTTCCTATTCTATTTTTTTTTTTTAAATAAAGCGCATGTGTCAATTTCAACCTCAAATAGAGAACTTCTATACAAGGGAAGTGCAACCAACTTAACAAAATAAATTTGACACTAATGACATAAGAAATCGGGTCACATAAAGAGGCTGTTTTTTAGTTTACTTTTTGGTTTTTCTTATCTGCTTTTATGCCAGCTACATACCATGGTGTACCCGTAAGGTAAAAAAGACTTTTTAGTTTAGGGTATTTTACATTTAGTGTCAGCTGTCAATTATGTTGATAGAATACAGGCGTAACCATAGATGGGCATAACGTAACTATTTTTGTATATGGTTGTATAGTGTATGGAATTTGTATTTGTAGCAGCAGCATTTTTGCATTTGACATAAGTATATAAAACCAAATGAAAAAAATGTTAAAAGAAACCAGGAGAAACACAAATAGACTATTAACAATAAAAAAATAAGTCACAATGCTACGCTTATGTTTTGACATTATCGCCAGCTGATATTGACAAATGTCTTCAACCTTTAAATGTAAAATACGCTAAAATAAAAAGTCTTTTTTACGTTACGGGTACAATATGGTAAGTAAATGGCATAAAAATAAACGAGAAAAACCAAAAATTGAATAAAAAAACAGCCTCTTTATGTGACCCGATTTCTTATGTCATTAGTGTCAAGTTGGTTGCACTTCCCTTGTATAGAAGCAATGAACTGGAGTGGGGTAGAATGCTTGTCAATAGGCTTGACATGCGACTCTATGGGCAAAGAAATCTATCGAAAGCGGCAACGAACTTTTCGCTCTATATGCACACAGGATTTTTTCTATTATCACATCATTTTAAGAAATAGACATAAAAATTTGTCGTAAGTAGTGTATAATATGTTGCCTATATCTTCGTCAATCATGAAAAAACTCAATGTTAACTTGGATAAAAGAACAAAAAACATCTAACTACATACAAATGGCTTAAAAATCAATTATTAAAAAGAAATATTATGTTTTTACCTAAATAAAATTGGACGAGCTACAAAGCTGTCAATTTTGCGCTCGACGAGAGACAAAGCTGTCACTTCATGGAAAACGTCAACTTTGCCGTTAGATTTCGAAGCGCACAAGCCTGCTTTGGATAGTGATCATAGAAAATAGCTATTTATGAAACCAGTTACGAAATGCCTTACTTTTTGTACCGATTGAATATTTGCGGGACGAGCAGAGCGAGGTCCCGCAACATGAACGAGTTATATAAAACGGGATTTCGTAACGTATTACATACAATATTTTTTCTAATTTTGACTAGATTTAAAAAATTGTGACATCTAGGCAACCGATATTACTACTTCTTGTATTGTTAGTTGCATATGTTTAACATCATTCTTTTATTGACAAATAGAAAATACTATTAATTTATTATCAAAGACTTGTAGTGTGTTTATATGGTTCTGTTAAAGTTATTTAGATTTCAAGAAAGTGGGTTATTTTGTCGTGTATTGTGTTTTAATTATTTTGTGCTGATTTAGAATGGAAAATAAGGACCAAAACAACATTATTAGTAGGTTGTAAGTTTAATTAAATTCTATTTTTATAAATTAATGTGCCCTTCTTTGATATAAACTTTCAATAATAATGTATATTACTGATTTTAAAACAAAAAAGGTGTATTTTTATTTCCACTGAATTTTTTCGAAACAAGTTTCATAATGTTCAACATTATGCAATTATTGCGTAAAGTAGATCATTTTGACACTTGCTGCGATTACAAATAATGTCTCTTTGTGTCAAAATTAGAAAAAAGTAGTTTAAAGGTATGTAATTGGCTACTAAACGCTTATTTACTTTATGCATGTTATTTAAAAACCCTAGAAATATATTTAAGTTCAAAAACTATATAGGTAATTTAGGTAAACAAATTTCTTTTAATGTTTAATATGCCAAGTTGTATTGAAAAATTCTATATATCATAGAAGTACCAATGTGAAAGAAAAATGTTCTATAAATATTTATTGTTAATGTTTTGGCTTGATCCTACCATGATTCTTTATGTTGAATAATTTAGATAGGTATTAAGCAATTTCTCTAAATGTTAAGAATCGAATATTTCAGAAAATAGATTACATATTATACCCTATGAATTTACCAATGGACACAAATTTGTACTCCTAATTTAGTTTTACCGAAGGTAGTTTTTAGCCATTTTTTGGTGAGTAAATAAGAAGTAAAGATCGTAGAGGGATGGTTCAATTGAAATGTTGTTCATTAAATAGGACAAAAAATAGAACGGTCTACTTAAAATTTCAATATCTCTGGTCAGTTTAATCTAATGCATTTATACACAAACTTGCAAAGCTCAGTATTGCTTAGACCCCTTCAGTCCAAATTATATCGCTTCTTTATATCTGCACGTACACTTAAACTTATATGGAACAATCTATCGGAACTAACCGATTTTCGGGTTCACCTAATACCGCTTCCTCTTTCATTTAGCAGAAAAAAGATGGACGACAAAAAAGTACTTAGATTCGGCGGCTCGAAAGTATCAGAAATCGCGAACATATTCCAAGCCATGACGCCCGGCCAAAAGGAAGAAGCCATCATAGCGTCGGTACGCAAACGGCACAGCAGCCACAACGCCGCTGCCGAAAAAATAGAAGCAGACGCCGCCACTATAACTGTCATGCGAACACAATCTCACGTGACCAGATTCAACAACGCCAGAGCGCTCTTCGAGAAGCTGGGTGAAGAGAATCGCAAAGAAAAAGTCATACCGTTGCAGGCCACCAGAAGTGCTTCTAACATATTGGATTCCAGATCTCGAAGCAGTTCGAACAGCGATGGCAGAGACGCCAAAACGTATCTCAGATCGCAATCTTCATCTCCGGTCAACGATAATTTCGAGGAATGTCACATTAATATCACGAAAACTAACGGATTCAATTTGAGCGATTTAGAGACGAACGCTAACGGTTCCGCCGACATCAAAGCGGACAAACCGCCTCTCACCAAGAAACCCGAAAAGCCCGAAAGGAAATTTAACAGCAAGGAATTGATAGAACGTCAAAGGAACTGGACCTCGCATTTTTCAAAGACTCGCACCAGCAGATACAACAGCGATCCCAACAAGAACGACATCCGATTGGGAATCAGTTTGGATAAAGACATCATGGAAAGCAAGCCCACGGTTACGGCTACGAGAAGCGCGTCGTTTAGCACCAGGCTGAAGAGCCCTACGACTTCGCCGCCGCCACCGCCGCCTCCGATAAGAACCGAGGCGTCCAGGAGACAAAATTTTGTGAAAAAAGATCGGCCTGCCTCTGTTATACCTACTACGACAGATAGTAATTTCATCAGAGACGAGATTTCGGCCGATTCCTCGCAACAAATTCTTGTGGAACCCGACAACGATATGAAATGTTTGAATCAGCGGGAAGATTCTTCTTCGAATACCGAATTGCGAAGAGATAATTTTACCGATGGATGTTCGGTTCAGGTGCAAGATGCGTCTATGTTGATGGCTTCGCAGAACGTCGTTTCTAAGTCTCCGTTGGAGGATAAGGAAGCCAGTAGGGAGAATTTGTCTGCAGCTTCGGGTAGTTTGTCTTCGCTGAGTCCGCCTAGTAGTCCGAGTAAGATGAAATCAGAGCAGGAGAAGCAGGAGCAGGAGAGCAACGAGAAGAGTCTTATAGGTAAGTGATATTATTTAGGTTTTTTTTTTAATGGGTTTGATCTCAGATAAACAAAGGAAATATATGAGCAATATTTAATAAATACAGCCTCAGCCAATCTGTCATAGTGACCGCCAAATTTAAAGCGCCGTTTTTTTTTTTTTTTTTTCAGTAAAAAATAAAAAAATGCTTACAAGGGCAATACTCTTAGTTGAGAGTTATACAAACATTTTAAGAGCAATTAAACCACTTTTCGACTTAGGTTTTTACACCTATTTAAAATAAAACAGTTCACATTTCGCCAGGTTGCAATTTTCTTTTTGCCTATCAACCCTTTCACCGATACAAAAAAAAAATGCTTGCAATACCATCTTAGATTCAGAAAAAACGGGTTTAAGATATATTCCGTATTTCGTTGAAAGATACAAATATCCGGTCACGTGGCTGAAATCTCTTAACTGGAAGTAGCAAAACCGGACGACAGAAAATGCTTTCTAAGGGATTTTTTTGTTGTATACGTTTAGAAACAAATTATTTCATTGCCAGCAAAAAACAAAAATCTATCGATAAGCAACTTTATTTTGAATTAGATGCTACTTTTTGCAGTCAGATGAGGGACTATTTGGGAGATGATGACATCTTTGAAATATAACTTCTTTAGACTGTCTTTCACTCCACTCAGTAACATATAGGTTAGTCCCTAATATTACCCTAAAAAGAAGAATTATAAAATTTAACTTAGTAGGCCGTTTTTGCTTTCGCCATCCCCAGTGCTAATTTTCAGATGACACAAGTGTTTGGATATATAAAAAATGTTTTCTTTCCAGTATATTTATTTTACATTGTCAAGTTTAAAATCTAAGAAGCATTTTTCTATTACAAAATAGCGTCCATAATCCACGTGAACATCAAATTTGAATACAAGCATTTTTAATTGAATAATAATAAAATATGTTGTTCCTCTTATGAACCATTTTTTATTTTTCCGCAATTAAATTCAAAGACGCCAAATTTGCTGCGTATCTTTTTTTCTGGGGATATAAACGTTTAATATTCTTCGTCACTACTCATATTTGTTACATCGATTTAAATAAACTATAAATTGATTTGACACAAGCACACTGACACGGACGAAAAGTGTTTTTTTCGGACTCCTACGTAGTCGCCCGAAAAATTAAACTTCTCGTCTCTGTAAAATAAACTAAAACTATTTAGCGCTAGACGAGAAACTATATCCGATTTAATATGAGGCGTGGGCTACAAAAGTAACAAAATACACAGACCCAAGACAAAAAGTGAACTTTCAGCGCGCGTGAAGTGTGTAAAGACGACCGAGTATTTATAGATACAGAGATTTGGTGTTATGAAAACAGCGCGAGACTGTTTACTAGTAGTATAAAGTACATCGCGATCTTCCCATACGTTCCACGTTCGTTAAAAACATAATAACGACATTTTATTGTAACATTCACAATGTATAAATAAACATAAAACAATTTTACAATGTATTAATAATCTAACATCGGTCGATGTTTGACCAATCTTCGCGGGTAACAATTAACGCAAAAGTGATCTAAATGGTTAAACACCTGAATAAAATGTGTTTGAGGTTGAGACTAATGTGTATGGATTGTGCAGGTATGTTGTTTTCCATTTTTTTGGTAAAAAGTGACCGATAGATAGATAACTATTATGTTTGTGTGGTCGTGTCTTGGTATCATCATGAAGAAACAATTTTATTTTTTACAATATTTCATTCATGAATCCGCGTAATCCGACGGCATTGAACGATTTTAAAAATACTTTCCTAAAGATATTTATACTTTCCAGGAATATCCGTCTATCGGGTATTTGTCTGTTATTAGTACGAGGTTCGATGAAATTTATTGTAAATGTAGGGATTTGATAAAGAATTGTGTATATATTTTTTTTTCTATCGATATAGGCAATTCGTATTTTTTTACCTTACAAGTTTGTAAGAAATTTTCCGCACTTTTCAACGGCAAACAAATTTATGTTGCATGGCTAGTTGGGTGGAATTTCGTGCAGAGCAAATAGTTACGTTTTTAATAAAAAGGTATCATTCTATATTCCAAAAATGAAAACGAAACCTTTCTTTATATTCCTTAAGAGCAAACCGAATACCTTGAAAATTTATAATTCCTTCTGACCCTTTATTTTTAGTCCGATTTTTGTGAAATTTTCAGGAAATACCAACAATAACAAAACGTAGGGTGGAGAAACCTTGATTTTTTGTAAACATTCAAAAATTATTTATTTTGAAAAATTTTTAAAATAATTAAAAAAAAAACATGTACGCGCCTTTCCGTATTAAATCTATGAAAATTTACTGATTTTCATTTTAATAAATATCTAGTGTTCCCACCTTTTCCTTAAACGTCTCTGTAGAGTGCAGCCTTTTCGTTGCACAAATTTAAAGCTCCCAATATTCTCAAGACACATAATATCACGAAGTATTCCCAGTGGCGCGCATATAAATACAATTTTATATTAGAAAATTCTTAAAACTTTTTTCTTTTGTGAGAGGTCCGGTTTGCTTTTAAATACCATTTTATAAATTCTAAAGCATGCGCAGAAAACCCAAATAATTTTAACTTAGAAATTAAAACTACAATATGAATTCTCTCAAAAACCTTTGAAACATCTGTATATATTACATTAAGCTTACGAGCCCAAGCAATATGTTGGGACGATTATGATTTTTTGAAACACTTTGAGATAATTCTCAACCAACATGTTTTTCAACATTTATTAGCATCTACGGATTACCAAAATTTTATTTTTTGTTTCATTCTACAATTAATTTTTCTTACTCACACTACGATGTAAGAATTACACATTTTTTATTGATACGGTAAACGAATATTGTATAAGTTAATAAAATATTTTCCAAACTTAAGGAAACAAAATTGTTATTCTTTTTTAAAATAGTGAAAGTTGTTGACGTGAAAGGACACTTTTGCTACGACCTCAACTGTATCCCTCAATATGGGTATCCTCGGCTCACCGCTGTGTTATTTCAGCACAGTGAGTGAGATCTCCAAAAATCGAGTAAATTATTTTCCTTATAAAGGTCATTTGAATCCGGAGAGCGTTGAAAATCTATTACTAGGGGTACATTCGCTTAGGATTCTGAATACTTGAGGGGAGCAATTATCTGTGTGAGATTCGTCGTCGAATGTTATTAATTCTGTGGTTTCGCAATCTAAGTCTATAAGGCATTGTGTATTGTGGAATTGATGGCGATTTTATTTTCTAACAGGACGGTGCTTCATATCATACTGCACAACATAATATAAAGGTTATTATCTTGGTCGGAAAACAGTCAAAACTTAAATGTAATCGAAAATATTTGACACAAAATGAAAAAAAAAAATTACCTTTGAAACAATCCTTTATGAACAGTAACGGATTTAAGAACCAATTTAAAACAAATCTGGGAAACGATAACCCCTGAATTTTGTACAAAGCTTGCGGGTAGTATGCCAAATCGTATTCAAGCTATTATCAGGTCAAAACGAAATGTCACAAATTATTAAAAAAAATTTTTTTATTAATTTATACTTGTCTACATTTTTGTATGCTTTACGCATTAGCATGGGCGTCGTTACACAATTCTATAGGGAGGGGCAAAATTTTGAAAAAATTTAGAATGTTTATTTATGGAAAACAAAGAAAATGAAAAATAAAAGAGAAGTTTCTTATGATGGATTTAATTATTCTGTGACGTCATGGCTTACTTCCGGTTTTCCAGAAATAACAAAAAATCACAATTTATTTTTTATTTTTAAATGAAAACCTTTTTTCTTATTGAAAATTTGAATTTCTGAGACATTTTTGTATAGAAGGCGTGTATTGTCAGTAACATATTAAAGAATTATTTTCCAATATGATGGTAATTTTGACAGCTATTTAAAAATTTAAAATAAATTGAGATTTTCTGTTATTTTCGATAAAACAGAAGCCATGAAGTCACACACCAATTGAATCCAGCATATGCATGAGAGATAGTATTTGTCCCAAGCTTTTAAACAAATAAGTTTTCATTCCAATATCTCAATTAACAACGAAGATAAAAGCGGTTTGCTAATAATAAAAATGCTTACGCCACTGATATGCGGAAAATGGGTCTCAATGGGAATTTTGAAGCTTAAAAAGATTTTATACATTCCTATATGTTTTTCCATAAACGAATTAATAGTAACATATTTAGAAAAATATTATCCAATATGGCGGCCATTTTGACAACTGACAGAAAATTATCAATACACGATTATTATACAAAAATATCCCATAAATTTAAATTTACAATAAGAAAGAGGGTTTCCCTTTAAAATTAAAAAAAAAATCGATTTTCTGTTATTTCCGGAAAAACCGGAAGTAAGCCATGACGTCACAGAACAATTGAATCCATCATAAGAAAGTATTTGTTCTAGTCTTTCAAACCGAACAAAATTATTCCGATATCTCACTCAATAGCGAAGATAAGGGGGAGTGGAACTCTAGTAGTAACCCACTGACCTATTTGACAGAACTGATACTTAAGTTGTCATAACAAGTCTCTAATAAATGAAATAACCCAACAAAAAAGACAAAAACTAAAATAAAGAAAAAACAAGAAACTTAAAACACATTTTTAAAAAACAACCAGAAGGTGTGATATAAAAGAAAAATATGAACAAGAAGACGTACCCATACATAATAAAATAAAAAATAAAAATTTATAAAAAAACAAGAACATAAAAAACTCGCTCAAACACGACGATGAACACAAAAAGAAACACTTGGAAAACGCAAATTTTAAATTTCTTTTTTCTCTACTAAAAACATCGATAACAGAAAACAATTTATTAATTTATTTTTCAATCAGTATATTTTCATTCATTATTCGCTCCGTGCGTGACAGCAGCGCCAACTATTTTATGAACTAACGGACGATATTTGCGTTCGTAATTAAAAAAATATGTATGTTAATTTTAATAAAAGTATATGGACTTGTAAAACAAGTGAAAAAATTATTATTATTATATGTTTTTATTACTTCATCTAAAAAAACTAGTATAATCAATAAACATCAATAATAAAACAGGCAGGTATTTACGAGAAAATGTATGAGATCTTGCCTAAGCATAATAAGTTGTCATTGAAGAATAGGTTACATAATGTCAAAATAAAAACATTACCATTATATAATGACGTAGAATTAAAACGTATTAACAAAAATAATTGGTATATTTGTGATTGTAATTTATATTTTCTTCATTTTTAGTTCGAAAGAACCCATAGAAATTAATAATTAAAACTGGTTTCCTATCAATAAGTCACAAGATTACATTTCAGCCATAAACAATAATCAAAGGCAGAAATCTAATCATTTGCCAAACATTTAAGATTTAAGGGATGTTGAAGAATATCATAAAATAATAATTTATTGTTTATTTAAAACCTTTTCTGATGTCTATTATTTCCGGTATTACTGTTATTATTACAAAACTAAAGATTTTTTTCTTCTTATTTTACAGCTGTCCATTTATTTCTTTGATTTGATTTCGATTTTGCTACTGAAAATTTATATAATTTACAGTTTTTTTGCTAGTATAATTTTAACCTATTTTTTTTAGTAAAAAGTAAAATGTATACGTGTATTTGATACACCAAAATTACAAAATATCGCCCTAAAGTACTCGAATTATCCGCAGCTTGCGCTAGTATCGCTTTTGTTTCCTCTACCATGACGCACTAATCGAATAGACCGCAGCCATGTTTTAACATGCCTTAGCGTGCTAAACGTTCTTTCGATTAACTCTGTAGTTGGTGGGAGAGCCATAAATAATTTTTAAACCACCACTTTGTCTGGATAAAATTCACAATGTTTGGACGCTATACCATTAATGGAGAGCTCATTGTGTGCGGAAAGCTCTTTCGTACTCCAGTTTGGTATTCGGCTTCAAAATTGTTGATTCCAAATTTTTCCACTACTTTCATTTTTTAATCGGTAGTCAAAAAAGTATTTTTTGTGTTTTTGGGATGTAACAGGCTTAAGGAAAAACTAACAGAGTCTTCGGAAAAGCGTGATGTAAGGGACGTAAGGGAATCCAGATATGCAATAAATATATTGAACCTATAATATTCTTCAACTATATTAGACTGAATTTTATTATTTCTATGAGATTGTTGTTCGTAATGCATATCTTACGCGTTGTTGATTAAGTCGTAAAAGCCAGGGAAGGCAACTGCCCCTCTAAAAAAAATCTCTTTGAAAGAATAAACAGATGATTTCCTTTTAAATGTCCATATACTGAAAATAATGTCAATATAATATAAAACTACATTGCTTCCCAACATATATTTGTTATGCACAGCTTCAATAAAGGTTTTGGTTTTTGTTCTTTTTCCCTTCGAGAAACGCCTCTTAACCGCCTTCATAACCTTGATAATCATCCGTCTTTCTTTTTATATAACATGTAATGCTCATTTTCCAGGCAACGAACTTCCGAAACCGGACCAAGCCACATCCGAACCGCTAGTGCTCGTACAAAAAAGAACGAAAGTCAGCAGCATATCGCTAAACATCCCAGCCGCTGGCCTTGGCAGTCGCCCCTCCTCCATCATAAGCACAACCACTTCGGACGAAGGCGGTTTCAACGAACCATCTCCAAAAGTAGAAGCCAGGCTTAAACCACACGAAGAGTCCATATACGACTTCCCCTTGAACGAAGACAAGCCGTTGGAGTATACCGACTCGCCAGAGGATGTCAGCGAGTACCAAGATTCCAAAATTTGTGAACCGAGCCCGCCTAAGCTTACGCCTGCCGAAATTGAGGCTTTATACGCGGTGCCGCACAAGAAACCCGCGCCTCCGGTTGACAGCAAACCCCCCATAGCACCTCTAAATGTAGAAAGCACATCTTCAGACGAAGACGCACCTCATTATGCAGTACCGTATCGACCGCACACAATTATCCAGCAGAAATCCGTAACGTCGACAGATTCCGAAGTATCTCAAGTGACTGTGATACCCCAAAGGTCCATCGACTCCGATTTAATGTACCACAACCAATCGCAATCCGCCAACCAAGCAGTATTAACCCAGTTGGATAGTTTCGAAAACAAATCTGATTCCGATAGCGGTACTTCCAAGCGTTCAGAACCGTTTATAATCAATCGCGAGGTACTGCAAACGTGTGATAGGGCCGTACGGTCGCCCGAAATACGAAAGGCTGAAGCTAATATATTGGATTTGAATGACGTGGAGTATGCGGACGCTAGCGATGGAGAAGAAGAAATCGATGTATGTAATGTGGTGGAGAAGGTGCGAATGGTAGCTGATCCTGATGATATGACGCCCGACGAAGCCGAGAATTTGCTGAGTGCCAAGTAAGTTCTGCATTTAACCTATTTTGTCTTCAATTGGGATTTTTCGTAAGAGGGGCACTGCTAAAGTTCGCGGAATCGAGTACTCCTTGTATTGCCGGCGTTTAGCCATTGTTATATTCATAAAGTGTGACGTTTTTAACCTTTAATTCAGTTGACATTCGATTTTAAACTAACCAGTTTCGTCTCAACAGAAATTGGAGCCAAACTCGAGCAGTCGACTGTTTAATTTATTGTATATATGAGACCATAAACTTTTATATATGTACTTACATTACAACATAGTTTAATACCATTATATCTTACTATTTCACTTTATATTAGACATTGTTGGTATTAAATTGTATTTCATTTTATTTTGAATTGTACTGGATGTGATTATCATATAGATAATTTTTGAAATAAATTAACACCATACGATTAGTAATACTTATTCTTGACATTTCTTCTTTCAGTTTCCGTTTTGCTTTAAATATTATTCCAAGAAATTTTATTAGTCAAAATGTATAATTGTGAATCAATGTATTTAATATGTCAAACGTTGGGAAACAAGACTGTTTCCAATTTTTTTTTATTGTTAACACTAAAGATCGTTAATAGCTACTAAAACAAAAAGAAGAAAAGAAATATCGGCTCACAAACAAGAGAAAATGGTACTTAACTATTTTGTTTGAAAACGGTTTGAACTAGTCCCATTCGAGTGCCCAAAAAATGAAGTCACGTTTAATTAGGTTTAAACCAGCTGCATCTGTTTTTGAAACATCTCCGCAAGAACGGTTCAAGAAAGTGGAAATGTCACTGTCATCAATGCCGAAAATAGTAATAAAAGTATCATAGGGTAATTCGCATCGCTTCAGAAAAAGTTTTATCAACGAATTTCTACTAAATTAAGTAAAAAAAGTATAAAATGAACTAAACTGAACAAATATCCAAAATAAAACGCGTGGCGAGCCTTTTTGATCCCCTAAAAATAAACTTTCAAATTGAAAATAGCTTTTTAAAAAATTTAATTATTTTTTCTAAGTTAAAATTCTACAACTACGATCTGTACTACAAGAAATATAAATGTATAATGATGTTAAAAATGAGAAAACTAGATAAAATGCATAAAGTCCTAATCAGCGGTTTCCTAGAAACTGGTAACTCTGATAACGCCGACATCTGCAGGATCTGTTACTAGGGCTGATGTAATTCCCTGAAAAGACTGTTGATGCATTAAAAAGTACTTTAAATATTCGTTTTGTCCTAGGCAAAATTATATAGATTTTAAAGGGGAACTTTAACAGTGCCTTCTCGTATCGGTGTTTTAAGGGAAAAGATCTCATTGAAAAGAAATTTTAATATCTCTCAAAGAAGAAATGTCTTTATTACTCTCTACTTTATCAGATAAGAATATTTTAAAATTTTTGGAAGATTTTTTTATTTTTTGACTTTTTTCATTAGCTGTGTGTTTTTTTAAGAAATTTACCATGTTATCTTGGTTATTATGATTTCTGGTATTGCGTAAATAAAATGAATATTAATTATTTTGTATTTCTTCCATATAACCGGTGTCATTCTAGGATTTTGGAGAAGCAGAACCGGTAAGTTTGTAATTTTGTGTAAAGGTGTGGGGTTTCTAAATCACCTGTGCCGGAGTTCGTAGGGTTGTACAAATATATATAATTGTAACAACAAAAATAGTGCAAATGAAAGGAATAAATTGATTATATCGTGACCCTATAAAAATTATAAATAAGTAGTAATAAATAATTTTTGAGAACATCTGTTATCTATCTGTATCTGTAACTTGTGGAGGGTGGGTTAACCCACGGAACGTAGGTCTCACTAGGCCCATTGTGCATCCTTCTAAGTAGATAGGCACATCCTATAGACCGTCAGATAGTGACTGATTTAGGTGCCCCATTTTCGCATACAAGCCTCGAAGAGGGTTGAAAAGTACATCGATTTTGAGTAGAATGAAATTAAATTTACGAATGGCCCCTGGGGATAACATATGGAAAATTCGATTTTCCTTAACAGAAATAAAAGGTGTTTCTTGCTCATTTTTCCACGCAAGCCGTTTTCACTATATGGTTAATTAATAGAACTAGGATTCGGAAAACCAAAGGCTTTCATGTTGCAAGTGGCTAAAGGGTTGAAATAAGGGCGTAATCTTGTAAAGAAAAATCGATATTTTAACTGATTTTTCCACACAAGCCCTTCGAAAGTATGAATACATACATCGTCACTAGCCCGAAAAACATATTGGCTTGAATGGCGCGGATGGATAAGTGCATTTTGGAGTCGGAAAAATTACCGCAATTTTTTTTTTATATTTGAGTTATTTTTTCATGCAAGCCTTTTTAACCATAGAGTGTTATTAATGTGTTAGACGTAATAATAAAATTGGCATGAGCGGATGTGGACGAAACGAAGGCTTGCGTCGGAAAGTTGCAGGAAAATTGTATGGAAAATGCCACCATTTTCCCACGCTAGCTGTTTGCCATATGCTTAGAAAAAGTGATTCTAAGACTATATAACAAAAGGCTTGAGTGTCGGACATGGTCATCATATTAATTATATATAATTTATTTGACAAAAAAAGTTTATAAATTTCCACCATTTTCCCACACAAGCCTTTTGGCATATGCTTAGAAAAAGTGATTCTAAGACTATATATATTGTAATAAAAACACCCTATATGCAAATAATAATAATAACCATATTGATAATAACAACAATAATAATATAATAATAACAACAATAATAATAATATTAATAATAATAAGTTGGAAATGATACCCTGTATATTAAAAATTTAGATGAGAAAGTCTTAAGTGAAGACTTTGGGAAGTAGAAAGGATGGTTTCTAGGTTTGAGTATGATGGATTGTCAATTTTGAAATTTAAAGAAAGAAAAATGTCAAAAATTTTTTAGTAGTAGAAATTTATTTTTAAAAGATATGGTCAAGACGAATTAAAAAAACTGATATAGCACATTTTGAATAAACAAATTTATCTAACCAAACATAGAACTACAGTTAACAGTTATGAGCTATATGGTATAAAATAGTTATAGAAAAACATTCGTAATAATTGTGTTCCGGCGAGGCAGACATAGAAAACTGAGAGGAGAAATAAAGCGAAGACAGTAATGGAAACAAAGAGTTTCAAGATGAACTGTGAGTAACATTTTTATAAACTGATTACTTTCAATAATTTGTGTAAAAAAAGACATTGCCAATAGTTATTTCTGTAGAATTTAATTTTAGTATATAGTTTAGTGAGTATGAATGAAGAGCGAATGGATTTAGAGTAGTTTTAGTAATATAACCCCCATGAATGTAAATAACGGGGCATTTTGTTAATTGGAGGTTTAGTACTGTGTCTAAAATAAAATTTTTATTTTTGGTTTGAAAAATTTATTTATTTAGTTGGATATACAGGGTATAAAACAAGTCAAGTCGTAAATTTTTATTTTGTTGATTATTGAAATAAAATTAAAATAAAATTATAATTACATTAAAATAGAATTTAAAATTAAATTAAAATAAAATTAAAGTAAAATTAATAATAAAATTAAATTAAAAAAAAATGGTAATAATATAACTTTGAAAGTACCCCTGAGATAAAAAAAAATAATAAAAAAAATATATATTTTAATTAATATAAAAAGGAAAATGGTATTCAGGTGCGATATCATTACAATATATAAAGGCTTGGACTATTCAACGACTAATTTTATACCTTTTAAATGTTTATTAACTTAACGCCCTTTTAAATGATTGTAAAAATTCAAATATTTCATTTGATTAACTAAATAAATGTATATCATAGTACTTACCAATTGCATACAGAGAAGTAGATAACATCACATCCAGATGGATGGCTCAGCTGTTATCTACAAGAACTGCAGAGACAGATCGGGCAGGACACCATCTCCATCTGCACAACCAGAGGATGTCCACAAGGAGGAGTTCTATCTCCACTAATGTGGAGCCTAATCGTAGACGAACTTCTATGCAGATTGACTGACCTCGGCATACCCTGTCAAGGTTATGCCGACGACATAGTCATATTTGTTAGTGGCAAGTTTAGTAATATCCTGTGTGATATAGTCCAACAAGGACTAGAACATACCAAAAGATGGTGCCGTGAAGTGGGACTTAGTATAAACCCTACAAAAACAACACTAGTAGCCTTTTCAAGGAAAAGAAAACTTAATCTCAAAACCGTTAAATTAGACGGGATAGATATAGAATGGAAAAATGAAGTCAAATATCTAGGCCTAACCCTGGACAACAAACTTCTCTGGAACACACATGAGAAGGAAGTAGTAAATAAGGCCACAAAAGCCCTAATGGTATGCAGAAATATTGCAGGTAAACGATGGGGATGTAACCCAAACATACTGCGATGGATGTATACTGCAATAGTGAGACCAATTATCACTTACGGGGCTATAGCCTGGAGTAACAGAACTAGTTTAGCTACTACGAGAGCTAATATCTCAAAAGTACAAAGACTAAAATGGGAGTAAAAGTTTTTATAAACATAGGTCCGAAAATGTTTTGTTTCCGAGATACAGGGTGTTAAAAGTGAAGTCCTGATGACACATTTTTGTAAATATTTTCAAAACTTTTAAAGATAACCAATTGAAATTTGGTATATTACACTCTATTTAATGGACTAAATGATCATCTTCATAGGTGGGTAAATGAGGGGGGGCTTAGGGTTAAATTGGCCTAAGTTTTTTTGTTGAGTTTATAACATTTTTGACTACAAAATTTGAAAAATGTAAAATCCTGTATCTCGAAAACGAAACGTTTTTGGACCTATGTTTATATGAACTTTTACTTCTATTTTAGGATGTAGATTACGCTGTTAAAATATGACCGTCTAATTTCGGGACACCCTCTATAAATGAAAAGTTCCTTGGTTTATTCGGTCTTTAATTTTATTTTCTATCGTAAGCACAGCACTACATATATTTCGAAAAACTTTGTTTCCATCTTCAGGTGCAGTCAATTTTTTTTTTTAACACATGGGGACGATTACAGTTCAAATTTTTTTTAAATTACAGAAACCCCATCTTCCTGTTTCAGCGTGTGAAGGTGTATTCGAAATAGTATTGATTTGGTTTAACACGATAACGATAAAGTAGGGAAACAAAAAGATGAGTTTTTACAAAGTTAAAAATTACCAGTTTTAAAAAACTGTATTTAATTGTTTACTGTCAAGTTGACCATATGTTTGTTTTATTTATATTCAAAACAAAGTTTTTGTATTTTATTTATTTTCGAATAGTTTTTGTTTAGGTAAATAAAAACTATTTTTATTTAAAAATTATAGTGGTTTTTATTTGTTTTTTTTTATAGTTTATTTATTATTAGGTTAATTTTGTGAAACTTTTCGTATATACCCTTTACTCGTATTTTCACGATTACTACTTGTATCCGTAAACTATCTATAAAAGTACTTACGAATAAAATACTTATAAATACAATTTTCGAGTACTCGTAAAATTTACGAGTATTTTATTCAGTACCCGTGCCCAGCTCTGTAGTAAAGTATAATATCTCGTATTTGTTAAAAAAAATGTTGTACTTATATCTATCTATCTGAATTAGGGCGAGGTTCAAAGCCCACTTGTACTGAAGCTCTAGGCTTATTGTACCCCTCACAGTTTCTATCCCATCAGATTGATTTTATTGATGTACTTATAAGGTCACCTGGGTGTTTCTTAACTGTAGTTGGACCCAGCTGTTGTCAAGGGCCAGGTCTGTGGCAGGACAACGTCTGCCTACCTGGTCCGCTAGTAGATATATAAGTATTTCATGTTTGTAATTTACTTTCACACATGATTGCATCACAAAATTTAATTAGATAAATTTACTTTATACCTCAAACTGTTCCTTATTATAATAGTCAAACTATCAAATAAAATATCCATTGAATTTTGGAGTCTGAGAGTAATTTTCATTAATTGGTTTTGTTAGTTGGAAAATAGAATAGTTATAGACTATTATAGTTGAATGTTTTCAATTTATCATTTGCTGAAAATGTGATTATAGTTTTATAAAACAATAATGATTATATTAATTAAAAAAATGACAGTACACAATTACTTTATTTTATTTTAATGGTTGGATAGACAATTAAAGGACCTTTCAAAAGAGATATCACAGGACCCACAGCTCTATTAAAAAATCATTGATGACATCATCACGCTCAAACAAATGATGTCACGTATAAAAAATATCTCTGGAATGCACATTCAAATATAAAATTTTACCGATTTACGAAATAATGATTTTAATCCTTTCATTTGACCATACTGTATGTGTCTCTGTACTGGCTTCTATTTTTCTAATTTTGTTTGTATCATTGATTTTGTATTTCTTCAATAACGGAACATTTTGTGTTCTATTAAACAACCCTACCAAAAATCTGCTTGACCTGATCTAGGATCCCTAATAAAGGTGGTTTTTAAATTTGGGACGCCATATATGTACTGACTAGCTTCTAACATTCGGTGACGTTATTTTTCGGTAACTTTACGGCGGAAATATAAAAGCTATTCAAAATCCCGTTCAAAACATCCTATTTTTATTTTCAAATGTATCCCAACAGGTCGCAATTGCTGTCTGACGAAGAAGCTCAAGAAGTGACCAGGCTACTCAACTCCAAAGAGAGCAAATCCAATCGATGGCTGCCAAACGCAACAAGTACTGTCCTTCAGGATTCCATTACTGCTTCGACACACGATTCTTCTGGACCAGTTTCCTTGAATGATAGCTGCGGCCCGCCTTCCTTACAGGAAGAACCGGTAATTATAATACAAAACAAAATGCAGATCGACAGGAATAGCAAAAGCCGGGACATGTGCCAACTTGGGACATGACTTAGAGAACGATTATGCTATATCTTCATACAACGGTGTTATGTAGTCTTTTCAGGAAAAGTAATTTTTGTACATTTTCGACGGTCATGTCCGCATAAATAGTGAAACGTAGTCCTTTTTCTTTGAGTATTTTGACCTTTTTCCTAGAAATTGCTGCTTAATATCCTCTGGGTATAGAAGACTCATAGTTAAATGTTTCTCTATTCTCTATCCTGGATGCATTTTCAAAAAACTTAGTATTTTCGCTTTTGTTTAGACAAATTGTAAAATACTTTCAAACTTTAAATTTTTTGTAACCTTTTTACGTTTTTATAAGATATAGCCGTTTTTTACGGCACATTTGGTAACGTCTCAAAATGCAGAACTTCGAGTTTAATTTATTAAGATCTAAGTGATCACTTCGAAAAACCGGAAAGAACTTAGCGCATATGACCTAGGCAGCTTCAGCTATCACTGTCGAACGGTACAACCGTTTGATTCATTGTTAATATTTGGCACACAGGCAGAAGAACCTTCAAACGAGCGCTTCAACTCTGACTGTAATATACCTAGTGATGAATTGATTAGCACAAAATTGGATAGCCAGATAAAATCCGTTGAGCCGTTATCGCAGTATTACGAATCAACCGAAAGTCTGACTTCGACTCAGGACGAAGAGGAGACGTCTAAAGTCGAGATCGATACCAGCGTCACTGATTCAGGACTAATAGATTCCATAACGAGCTTATCAGAGGGATTAGGTTTAGAAATAAAGACTGAGCAACATCAAGACTTCGTGCCGAGACCCGTAGGCATCATCGGCATCGAGCACGGCGTCCATTACTACGAAGACGGCCACTTTTGGATGGAAGTACCCGGTCTGCCGCCCGAAGAGGACGACGAACTGGAATTCCCCGAATACATCCCGCCCAAGTCCAGCAAAGTGAAATTCTCCAAGGATCCGATGCGAGTTTATTCAACGTTCAGTATCAGCGATTACGATAGGAAGAACGAAGACGTCGATCCGGTTGCCGCTTCCGCGGAATATGAGCTGGAGAAGAGGGTGGAGAAGATGGACGTGTTTCCGGTGGAGCTGGTTAAAGGATCCGAAGGATTGGGGTTGAGCATTATCGGAATGGGCGTAGGCGCGGATGCTGGCTTGGAAAAATTGGGTAAGTTTTGATTTGGTGGTATTTATAATAATTTTTGACAACAAAGTCCATTTACAGAAAGAATTGGTGGTAATTAATTAACATAACCAACCTAACAACCCTTTCGATTTTCTTCCATCATTGTTAACCTTCAGAGTGCGTATTGGACCCTAAACTTCTAAATCTTGCGTTACCATATTTCTGTGAGCTTAGAGTATTTATAAAAATTGAAGACATTTCACTAAACATTTCATTACGCTTTTGGTCGAATTGACGTCAATATGCAGTGTATTAATTAAAAAAACAATATATGCCATCTTAGTCGTTCATTAAACTAATAGGAATAACCTTGTGAGTTTTTTACACTAGATTTACCTACTATTCGGGGAATTACCAAATTATCATCTTTGTTGGGGACAAATAGTTTTTCCAAACGTAGATGTTATCAAATTAGGTGAAGTTCTGTAACATATTATTTACTTGTACGTACAAATTATACGTTAATTAGATTGTTTTGGAATTATTGGGGGTAAGTTATTACCTTCTTATATTTTGATAGTTACATATATTAGAGGGAAAGCCCACTCGCGCGACTGATCGCGCGCGGCAATACTTTTGAAGTTTTTAAATGACCACGCGACAGAACCGCGTTAATGGGTTTTGACTCATTTAAAAACATCAAAAGTATTGCCGCGCGACATGTCGCGTGAGTGGGCTTTCCCTCTTAGAAACTACACATAAAATTGGGAAATATCAAAATTCAAAAAGGTATTAACTTATCTCCAATAAATAATAAATCCAAAACAAACTAATTACAAAAAAATGTATCACTGAAGTTGGATTAATTCCTCTTCTGGAACTTTTTCCCAAGAACGTGTTGATACTTCATCAAGTGATGATAAATCTGAGGCAGAAGTGATCGACAAAATAATGGTAGTGATGAATTAGAAACTGAAGTCAGTGATGACGACAATATAGAAAGATACATAAATAATTTTAACCAGTCTAAATCGACTGGTATATTATTATTTTTATGCTAAAACATTTTTCTGGCGTTTCTAATAATATATTTATGTCTCCAAATGTACAGGAGTTACATATTTGACAGAACTGACAACTTCAATTGTAAAAGTTACTAAGAATCACTTTTATGATAAATTCAGGTGAGATACTGGTATTGTTAAAGACCCTGTAGAACGCCAGTGATGCTTTTTACGAAATTTATTTTGTAGTAAAAAGATGTTTGTTTTTTAATTTTAGGTATTTTCGTCAAAACCATAACGACGAATGGCGCAGCCGCGAAAGACGGGCGAATTAAAGTCAACGATCAAATAATAGAGGTGGACGGGAAAAGTCTAGTGGGCGTGACTCAGGCTTACGCGGCGAGCGTTTTAAGAAACACGTCTGGATTGGTGAAATTCAGCATAGGCAGAGAAAGGGATCCAGAAAACAGCGAAGTGGCTCAATTGATCAGGCAATCGCTTCAGGCCGACAAGGAGCGCGAGGAAAGGCGGCAGAGGATCTTGGAGGAGCAGCAGCAGCACAGCGAGGCTAGTACTGTCCAATTAACAGGTGAGGATATGGAAATTATGAGAGATAGTAAGGTTCTAATTAATTCATATTTCAATATCAGGTTCAGGGAACACCAGCGTTAGCGACGGCCCAACAAGTCCACTTGTAAACCAAGAAACACTCTTCGACCATGAACAAGAGAGCGTAGATTCCCTTAGGGCTCTGCTAATCGAGGTAATTTCTTCGATTCATTTCTGATCTTGGACACGTGTTGGGTTTACAATCGTCAAAAATAATTATAAAATATAGCATTTGATCAATTTATTATTACTCTATTGATTTATCAATTATTTCGATTTTCTAAAAAAATTGCATCATTATTGCTGGACCTTACACATCCATTCCATCATTTCTTTATTCTTCAATAAATATATGTTTCTGTTTCTAATACTTGCCATTAAATAACAACTCTCTTAATTATAATTTTTATGTATATAGTTGATGGAACAAAACGGCGTGAAACCGGATGACTCTGAAAAATTCGAACAAGCCAGCCAAAAATTGAAAGATACTGAAAGGAGCTTGCTGACGGCCAAAAAAGAAATCCAAACGTACCAAAACATGCTGGAACAATCTCAAATCCAATATCAAGCATTAGAAAAAAAATACAACAGAGCCAAGCACTTGGTCAGAGAGTTCCAACAACGTGAGCTCGATATGCTTCACAGGGAGGATTTCTATCAACAGTTACTACAAGAAAAGGATACCGAATACAATTCGTTAGTTAAAACGTTGAAAGACAGAGTGATAGCTTTAGAACAGGACTTATTAGATACTCAGAGGAAAGCTGGTTTACCGATGGTTCTACCATACGATAATATCAATATAAAACAGTTGACGCCGCAAATGTCGAGAAGGCAGCCGCCGAAACCGCTTTTTAAGCAGCTGCAATCGGATTTGTCAGACACCGAAATGTCCGATGCCAGTCCAGACGATGATAAGACTGCTACGGTCGAAAGGAAGTTGCCTATTAAGGAGGAGTTCGATAGGGCGGTGCCTCCGCACGAGTTGTTGGACATTTCGGCTAGCAAGAGTAAGGCGGAGTTGGCTAATAGAGGCGCGCTGGCTAACAGGTGAGGTATTTTTCGCAAAAAAATGACTGGGATTCAATTCTCAAAATATTCGTTTATGGAACGAGCATGCTCACAAACGAGTATTTTTGAATGATATCGTTCGTAGGTTGAGCGAAAAATACAATTCTCGAACGCTTTCATTGGTCCGAGTGAGTTTGATCATTTTAAATGATCAAAGAGTGTGATAATGTCTGTTTCACAAATCTGCTCGACATGTTAGAATTTTTCACGTCAATGGTACTTGTTAATTTAACGAAACTTAGATGCCAAATGTAAGTTTTTTTAGTCAAACCAATAAAAAGCATATATTAAAGTAATTGGTGCGCTTCAAAAAATCTAATAGTTATTCTCATAGATAAATTAATTTTATTACTTTGAGTGATATTATCTGTACAATTTTATAAAATGGAAGAAAAAAGAAATTTTTTCGATAATTCAAGTAATAAAAAACAGATTCTGGAGAAAAAAATCCACGAATATGCTCAGTAAATGAATATTTTGAGAATTGACACCCCAGTTGAACTATATTTTTTAAAATTTTAATGGTTTTCTTTCAATTATTTGCCGCCATTTCTGTTCGCAGGCAATTACCCAGTGTTAAGAAAGGCTCGCTCAGCAATAGCAGCTCTGACTATGGGCTGGACGAGAGCTATAACTCTTCGGACGAAGTCACCGATTCGGTGTTCACCCAAGTTAACGAAGTCAAACAGAAATTGAACCAAAGCGTAGTTGTAACCCGACCCACCTCGTTCACCAACGCCACCACCCAACAATTTGCTCAATCACAATACAATACCGCCACCTCCACCCAGCACCAGCAGTTACAGCAAACGAATCAAAATTCCCAATACTCAGTGCAATATACTCAGTTGCAGAAATCAAACCAATACAATGCGACTAATCAAAACTCTGTTCAATCTTCGAGCGTCGTGTATGCCAGCATTCAGAAGGAAAACAACAAATTCCAGCAGCCCAGTCCCGATCCTTGGAGTCAAAATGTAAATAGAAGTAACAACGCGATAGGGTGTCCGCCGCCTTCCTTGGCGGAGCAGCTAAAACAGGTAAAATATTTTTTTTGGCATTAAGGCCCGGTATTTTCACCTACTAATAAAATAATTTAGACTGAAGAATAAATGTTCATCTGGAAAATAACATAAAATACCGTACTTTCATCTTCCATCTACCAGTTAAAATCCTATTATACCCAGGAATCACAGCTTATCTACATATAAGTAAAAGTACTGGACCTAAGCAGATAAGTGTAAAGTTGGCTATGAAACTTTTTTAATATTTAATAGGATTCACATCTGAACAATATCATTGATCTATCATTAGCAATTTCATTAGGTATAACAACTTATTTACATAAAAATAAATATAAAGATTATTGGTTTTCTCAGAAAACCTTAATTTATCTGTTTATTTAAATATTTAAAAGTTTTATATGTTTTGCCCTCTATGTATTTTCCCATCAATATGAAAATCATAAAAAAAACCATCTAGAAGATGGTGAGGGTAAAATTTGTATATGTAGTAAACCAGGTTTATTTCAAATGTCTCAAAAATTACATTTTCTTTTCATCTGTATTTTTAATTGCCAGCCACCATATCTGAACTATGATGGTTTGAAAAATATTGGATTTGTATGTAGAGAAAATTGTATATAAAAAAAATACGTGTAGCACTCGGGGACTGCTGCGGTAAAGCTATTGCATAGCATTTTTATCAACTTATGCAATTCAAGTTACACTTTTTGAGCATGGTGACCGATAAGAAAACAATTTTTTTTTCCTTTATTGAATAAATTGTTTGAAATATTTTTATTATCTTACAATACATGCAGGTTATTCAGGAATTTTTATCATTGAAACTATAGGTTTATGGTAACTGAAATAAGAAACATAAGTTTGAGACTTGATATCCTCTAAATATCTGGAAAATACCGCGTCAATGGTGGTCCCATATTTTGTCGTGGATTCTTGTGGATCATTATTCATTTTCAAATTCAATTTTTCCGAAATTGTGTCTAAAAGAGAGAATCAGTTATGAGCAGTTAGCAGCTAGTCTACACAAATTGTAACTGAAATTTTCTGTGGATTATTCAAAAAGTATGACTACTATAGCTAACTGATTTAATAGCAAACAAAAAACAAAGTATGATAGATTTTCGCAAATATTAGTTTTATTTTTAGGTGCTGGCAGAGAGAGAAAAACGACTTGGGTCTGATAGTGTACATAGTTCGACCGATGAATTAAATGAAAAAACTAAAGATGATCCAGCGCATCATCTTTTAGAAGAAATCAGACAGGCTGTGAATGAAGCGAATTCTAAAGGTACACATGTGATTAAAAAAAATCTTCATGCATCAAATTTATAAAAATCTAGTTGTGGGAAATTTTGTTAAAAAAAACATATCTATTAATGTTGTGTTCATCAAAATTATTAAGTCAGACATAATCATTAAAATATCTTGGAAGAAACAATTGGTTCCAATATTGACCTCTGTGGCGATCCATTTTTTATAATAAAGTACCTACTGTAAACTGGAGGATATGTAAATCTAAACTAAATTTTTATGGCAATTTTCTTGTAATCCTCCCAGTTCTGATTATATATGGGAATAAAGTGAATTCCATTAATACATAATTTTCTATCTTCCCTTAGGGCAGGCCTGCACAACTCAGATTTTCAAAGGGCCAAATTTGAAAAACTGTGACTGTGCGAGGGCCGCCAAGAGAGGCCTGAGTCTACAGTGATCTGTTCAGATCTCTAAAAAAAAAGGTCGTCATCTTTGCTGGTCGAGCTGTCCTCACAATATAATTCTTAATTCTGCCAAGCCTAAATAAAAAAAAAACCTAAATGGTACCTTGTTACTGACAACTGTATAGTTTGACGTATGCATGCCAAACTGGTCAACGGCCGGCGGGCCGCCAAATCGACAATGGCGGGCCGCATGTGGCCCGCGGGCTGTATGTTGTGCAGGTCTGCCTTAGGGTAGAGACATTAACTTAAAAAATATATGCATGTTAGTTAATTATTACACTTTATTTTGATAAATTAAGATAACCCATTGACGTAGAATCATGTGTTAAAAAAATAATTTTGATCCAAACTTTCTAATCACTTTGTAGTTCATGAATGTTAAAATGTTATAAACGGAATATATCAAATTTATAATTATTCCTTGTCAAATTTATCATAAAAAAGGTACTCTTGATAGATCTCTCTGTAGAACATTATATTTCCAAGATTCATAAAATGAGTCCTGCTGTGCTTAGATTTTTTCAATTTTTCTTCAGTTTGTTTTTACCTTTGGTTGCTTAGGAATTTATTTTTGATTTTTTTTCAATGTACCACAATTCCCGATACCTTATTCTGATACATTCTGTATAAAACAAAATTTTTTATTTTAATTATTGATATAATCTTGAAAATAATTGAAATAAAATGTTTTGTAATAATCTCACAACCTCTTAATAAATTATTACCAAATTTGGCAGAGGGTTATTAATTTAATTAAGGACTATGATTTTATTTATATAACATTTTGGTATAGGGGCGCCACATGAATTATATTTTTTTGTAATTTTGACTAGAAAACTGACGTTTATACAGCGGCACGATATTCATTTCATCCATTCGATACAAACTAAACGTAATATTTTCGTGTGAATTGTGGAATTACGACCACTTATTTGTGTTGTAGTAAAGAGAGTTGTTCCCGTTACGTTATCGCCCCCAGGTAGCGCGCCGTGGCAGCCGCAGGCCAGTATGTCGCCGACGCCCCCGTCACCGTCGAGTCTCTCGTCGGGCTCCGTTTCGCCGTCGAGACACGATTCGTCTTGGGCCAACACGGATCTCAGTCTTTCTTCTTGCAGCATAGCGAGCGAGAAGAGGAACCCTCATTATTGGCAGTCTACTCCGATACTCGACTGGTCCAAAGACCAAGTAAGTCTTTTTAATTTAGAATCATAAATATGATATACCTTCACTATAGAGCATATTTCTCTCTTGCTAAAAATTGATTCAAAATAATTATAGTCCATAAAGCGTCAAAAATTATAATTATGTTCGTCATAAAGTGTCAAAAATGATAATTATATTCCAGTCATAAAGTGTAAAAAACGAAGAAGAATTTTTCAGTGACATATATTTTTGAAGTTGCTGAACATGAATCTGAACCTTTCCAGCTTGATTTTTTTGAGCTATTTGGTTTTGGACTATATTTTTTATCTACAAATATTTGCTATGTTCCCAACATACATTTCCAGTAAAGTTAAATATTTTTACTGGGCCAAAATACGAGTATAAGGTGCATTATCAATGATCTGTATGCGCTAGTTCAGTGATGATGTAATTATGGTTCCACTGACAATTAAAGTGACAGTAGATTTTTTGAGTGCGTTTTGTTTACCTAAATTATATCGTTTTTTTCACTTTTATAAATATATTCCTAAAGTAAGTAGATACCATATATCAAATATACAATAGTTTAGTTACCAATTACATACCTTTAAACTATTTTTATGACTTGTAAACAATATTTAGAAATAAACTAAAAACAGTAGTAACGTATATGTCAAATTTATTGATTTTTTTGTTAAAAGTTTGGTTAGAATTAAATGTCAGTGGAACCAAACTGACATCACGCTGAACTAGTGCATTATTTTCTGGATACAATTGACATCGTGAAAATATGTGCCAACAAGGGGACCAGAAGTGCCATGAGCTGGACCATTTGGGCAAATTTGAAATTCAATTAAACTAAAACATATTTTATTCTATCATTTTGAATTTGAAAGACATAAAAATTACTATTAAACTCGTAGTAATTTTTTTTAATTTAAATCAAACTATAAAATGTTCGATTTTTCTTGTAATAATAAATTTCTATCGTAATTTGACATTCAGCTGAGTGAATTGTCTAGAAGGACATTGCCCATAAAAGGAACAGAAGAATATTTGACATTCCTAACCTCTAATTTTAAAATTTGATTTTTATGAGAGAGAATGATAATCGATACCTTTTTGCCAGACTAACGTAAGCAACATTTTTTGTTCAAATGGGACCTATGATAGTCTGGCAAAAAGGTATCGAAAATGAAATGAAGAATGTTCTGTTACATTATATTATTTACGAATGAATGTTTGTCATCATACCTACTGCTATACTATTAGTACCTACATAGGTAGTCTAAACTCTAAAGTATAGCTGAAAGGAAGATTATGAAAACTATACTAGGGATCTTTAACCTTTCAAGGACGGCTGAGTGATATATCAGGCAAGCTTAATTTGGGCCTACCGACGGCTGTCGGGTATAACCGTCTCATGTTTAAGTTGGTAACTGGACTGATGCTTTACATTTACGACACATTTGAAAAATTTACGTGCACACAGTATGCTGTCGGATAATTCAGTGAGAAAAAAACACGCTACATGAACGGCTGACGAAAAAGTGAGTCACTGACGGAAATTCATGACGGCAGTCGATCTGATTTGATGCACTTAAACATTTCGTTCGATTTCTAATAGTGCTGGCAGTACTGTTTAGAATGGCATTGAAACAGGGTGACGATTACGGCGCCAGTCCTTCCTGTAAAAAAAAACCAAGTTGTGAAATTAATAGATCCCAATTTGATAGGTTTATAGGTACACTTTTTGGCTATGGTACCTGGATCTGCTAATAACAAAACGATACCAGAAAAAAGAAAGGTTGCCAGATACATGTGCATAGATTGTGATGTAGGCCTCAGTGTAGGCCTATTTCAAAACATATAGCGTAATCTGATTTTTGAAAAATATACAAGGTGTACCATTCTTGTGGAAAAGTTCTATGTTATTCTTGTTGTAAGATATATTAAAAAAAATGTATTATCAACATTTGCAGGGTCACATTTTAAAATGACATTTCATACAGGCGGTTGCATGACTCAGATATGAACCAAACTTATGGATTTTTTTTAATCAGAACACCAATTTTCTATTTTAGATTTAGATTACTCACATTTTTTTAATTCTTCTAATATATGATTTGTCTAGGTTATATAGGGTACTCTAAAATAAATTGGCACTTTTGTATGAAAATCATAAGAAAATTAACATCCTGTAGCCAATTACATACTGTGGCAAAAATAGTTTTTTACCTACACGAGTTTTTTAATATCATGTATTAAATTTTTCTTTAGTAACGTCTTTATTCTATTCTTATTAGTATACAGGGTGACTCAAGACTCAGACCCTTGATTTTCGTTTTATTTAAATGAGACCCCCTATATTTTTTATTACCAGTAGATTTCTCTGAAAAAAAGCCTTCCATTTTTATTAAGCATTCCCTATAGGTACCTGCAGTTAATAATTATCAATATTTTGTAACATTAAATGAACATTATGGGTATTTCGATAAATAAAACTTGTTTTCTTTTTAATTACTTTATAAACTTTAAAAAATAATGTGTAAAATAAACAAAATATGTCCTTTTTTGTCGTTACAGGAATATTATAAACTTGATTTTTAACCAACAAAAAAAAAGGAAGAAGTTCTCAATTCGTCGGATTTTTTTTTTATCTATGTTCAGCATTAATTATTTACCATATTGTCCAATTTCTATGATTATTTTTGTGTTAGAAAGGGGGTACCTCTAGGGTGTTCTCATATACATTTGGTCAAGATCTAATGATGAGAAAAATCAGCTAACTGAATTTGTGATGGCATCTCCATGATTTTGGAGTCGGTTTTTTAAAATTACTTTTATAACACCACAGCAAAAAAAAACAATTTTTGTTCAATCCTGTGATCGAGCTGGCCACTCTATTGGCCCTCCTCCCCCTATCCACCTTCTTGGAAAGTGATTATTTAGATAATTGTGATTTAGTGTGGTGCGATGGACTGGCGCACTATCTTGCAAAAACCACATTTTTTGGCAAATTTGAAGAGGAACATCCTCGAATAATATCAGTAAACGATTTTCAAGGAAATCTAAATATACTACACCATTTATTCGTCCTTTAAAAAGTGTGACACTATGACATAATCTCCTACAATTTCACCCCAAACATCCAATGACCACCTCATTTGGCTATAGTAAAATGTGGGTTTGAAGTAGGGTAGTATGGAAAGTTATTATGTAGAAAACAGACTATCACTTGATGAGGGTTATAAGAACACCTCGAAACCGGTCGTGATTAAATTTACTGACTAAATACAGTTTTCTACACTAATTTGTTTATTAGTTCACTAATTTAATGTCCAGAGATTTTTAAGACCATGAAAAAAAAATTAAAGAAAAAATAATTTTTAGACATTTTGTTATAGTTTAACAGCTTTTAATTTTAATTAGTCTGTTTATTGTGTGTATGCTTTTTTGTTTGTTAATTATTGAACAATAATATGTTCTATAAAAGCTTGTCACCTTTCTTCTTTGGGAAATACCTCAGCTAGTCTGAATTAGATAATTATTATTTCATTTTTGTAAAACATCCTTTTGGATTAATTCTTTGATTTATATCTTCTTTATCGACACGTTTATAATTGAAACCGGTCATGATTAAATAATTCTGTGAGAACCTAAGAACCTAGTTTTATTTCTTTCCCTTAACTTTAGATACATGGAATGATTAATAAAAATGAAAGGCTTATTTCAGGGTTAGTACTAGAATGTCACGAAGCTTTGGCCGAAGTATCCATCAACAATGTGGTCACCTTAAGATGGATCAAAGATCACTTCACATCGAAAGGTAACTGTCTTGCTGATTCACTAGCCAAGAAAGCAGCCAACCAAAAACTTTTTGGAACTGACCCTTCTATTGGTCTGACAAAATCGGTAGTGACAGACCTAATCAAAGAACATTCCCTTGTGAAAGATGTGATGAAACAAGAAACTGCAGAGTTGCCAGGGAGCTCTTAAGTTATCCTGACAACACTGCAGTAAACAAATACCTGACTATGACTAGACAGAATCTGTGCCTAGTCACAGGCATTCTGACTAGTCATTACCAAGTACGAAAGCATCTCCATATCATGGGGCTGTCAGAATCCGCACAATGCGAACAAGAAGATAAGACCATCAAGCATATCCTTTACGATTGCTCGACGCTCTCATTTATTAGAAGATTTGTGTTCAGCGAGTATCGGCTAACACCGGCCGATATAAGAGAAGCACCTTTTGGCGACGTTGTCAACTACATTAAATCTGTAGGCTAGCTCACGAGCTAGGAGGTGTCTATCATCTCAGGAGGATGCACAATGTACCTAATGCCTAAGTGCCGTGGGGGGTAACCCACCCTCCACACGTTACAGATACAGGTTCTCCCATTTAAATAAAACATGAAAATTAAATGTCCGAGTCTTGAGTACTAATGTATACTAAGAAACTCGTGTAGGTAAAAAAACTATTTTTTCTACAGTAAGTAATTGGATACAGAGTGTTGACTTACGATTTTCATACAAAATTGCTAATTTATTTTAGAGTACCCTATATAATCTAGACAAATCATGTACTAGAAGAATGGAAAAAATGAGAGCAATCTAAACCTAAAAGTAGTAAACTGGTGTACTGGTTTAAAAAGACATGTTTGGTTCGTACCTGAATCATGCAAAATGTGGTCTTCGAGCCACCCTATAAATTTTGTTAATAAATTAAAAAAAAAACTAGTTTACCTAACCTGTGCGGTCTGCAGTCACCGCGGGTTGATTCGCAAAAAATTATACATAATCGGTTATTGTTAAACATAGTTTTTAAACATGACATTTGTAAGTTGAATATAACCAGTTAAAAATTAAACTCTATTGTCTACTTAAGTTTTGTACACGTTACTTATTTAGTGTTTATATATGATCCAAGATTTTAATAAAATATTTCTTCTTCAAACACTTAGGGCGAGTTGTACAATAGACAGTTAAAATGTAATCTTAGATTAAACTGTGAATCTCGTTGTATAATCATCGGTTGTTGTTAAACATAATTTTAAAAATGACATTTGTACTTTGAATATAACCATTAAAAAAATAAACTCCTGTTAGCTAAACTGAGTTTACAACCCTTACTTCTAAATTATTTTTAGTTTTCAATCTGTATTTGTCTTCGCAGGTCTGCAACTGGCTGATAGCGGTGGGCATGGAACAGCACGTTTCAAAATTTGCAGAATTGCAAGTCAACGGTAGCGCGCTCCTCCTACTGACCTCGGCCGACTTTAAAATTTTAGGAATCACGAGCGACGACAAGAGCCGATTAAAAAGAAAAATCAAGGATCTCAAGTTTCAGGCGGAAAAGGAACGGAAGCAAATGGAAAGAGACCGAAAGGAGAAGGAAAAACTACAAAGGAAAGCCGATAAGGCGAGTAAAAAGAAATGAATCGCGGAAGCGGAAGAGAAAGAAAGAATGTTTTGATATAACGGTTTTTTTTTTGTTGGATGATGGGAGTGTCGAATTGGCAAGTTTAAAGGCCTCATGGCTGGCATTTTTGTGTCAGTGTTTTTTTTTTATGTAGTAATTGCTGTTATCTGATCTCAGCAATGCATAAAGGATATTGAACACCAATCTAGCAAAAAAAATCAATAATTATTTTTGTGTGTATGTTGCCAACTCGACACTAAAATTCTGTGACATATTGATTGGTATATTTTAATTATCAATTAAAGCCATAATTTTATTGTAAAAAGTAATAAGAAATAGGTTTTACTTTTTATTCTTCTGTCATTATGTACCTATCGATTATTTTTGTACTTTCGATGCAAGGAGATTATGTCATGTATATTTAGAATTAAGTTATAGGTTTTGGGGAAGATTTTACATAATTGAACAAAATTAAGCCATATTCGAGCGGTCAACTGGTTTAAATATATTTCATGTGGTTTGAAAACAATTTTAACTATTCTCATTTGAGTGACCAAACAATGATATCACCTTGAATTAGGTTTAAACCAGCTGCATTTGTTTTTGAAACGTTTCATTAAGAAAATTCAAGGAAATAAGAAATGTCATTAATGTCAAAAATAGAGCATAGCTTACAAAATAAAATTAATGATAAAAAAGATGATTTATATGATGGTTATAAAAAAAATGCATAATTATGAAGGATATAATTTTTCATAAAACTCTGGTAATATATGACATATGAGGCAAAAAATTATCTGTTGCTAGAGATTTACACTCACAAATCGTTAACTGTTAGTGACATCACTATTTTAAAACCATCTGAGTGCTTTCAAAATCTATGACGTAGTATTAAAACTGGTTCTAAAAGTTGTTGAAAATATTTTTATACCAAAGAGACCGCTCGAATATGGCTATAATTTTCTGTCCATTTTGCGTTAATACTTCTAAATGTCAAATATGTCATCGTTGTCGACATGTCATATGTCAAAAAATATTGTCGACAATCGATGGTGTTTTTTAAGAATCCATAGACGTACATGTGAGTCCTTCCTGAAATACGTTTTGCAATATTATTTTCTAAGCATTGCTCATTTTAGATGTATTTGATACGAAACACGTAGACGGTTATTTCTTATTACTTTGTACTTTGGTTCTTCGTACAAAAGTATTGATCATTTCGAGAGTGCCAGCTAATGTAAGATTTATTGTTCCTTAATCTTGTCAAATATACCTAAGTTAAAAAAGAATAATGTATGGATTTGTACTTTAGAAGAAAAAACAAACAAAAGTATGGTGTATTATATATATAATTTACTCGTTTTAGTATAATATATGAACTGTATATATATAATTGACTTTCGTTTCAATGATATGTGGACTGGAATGGTTTTTATGATTTTTTTGATATATATATACAAATATGTACAGGATGGTCGAAAGCATGACATAAGTAATTTATGTACAGGACTTTTCACTATGTCTAATTGAAGCTTATAGTGAAATACCCTGTAGATGTTAAAAATATATTAAACTCCATTTTTTTCTAATCAGGGCATGTTTTATCTAATTAAAAATGTATCTTAAAATACTTGCAACGTTACTCAAAGTCAAAATATATGCATTTTGTTAAATAAATTAATATACAGTATGGGGAATCTTTTAGGTATGTTATGAAATTTCCAATTAAACTTTAAAATTTAAAACTATATTTTATGATCGATATGTATTTTTTGCAAAAAAAATAGGTAATTCGTATACCTATATTTTGACGCATTTTTGTATTTCAAAGTGAATAAGATGATTTCAGTTCTAGTATCGTTGAAACGTCCAATATTTAAAATAAAAGTGTGTATGTTTTAGAAGCATTTAAACCTAAATATACTTAAAAAGCTAAGTATGGTTATTCCTGTCTACTACAATTTTTTATGGACTTTTTTTATTCGATGAATTTCTCCAGTGACTTACTGTTTCTTCTTATCGTTTTTTTCTTCTAGTTTTTATACTATATTTAAGGTTTTAATTTATTAAATCGTCGATTTTGATTATATGTAATTAAAATCGTTTCATTACTAACTTTGTGATAATCACGTTTTTGTATTTTTGTTTTTTAATTTCGAAATCGAAGTAATGTGATCGTTTTTAAGATATTTTTTTTTTTTTAATTTATTGGACTATGTTGAATATTGTTTTTCTTATGTTCGATTTTATTATTCAATGTTTTTATATATACGATATTTTTTTATTTCCCCTATTTGGCTGCTACTTTTACTCCATCATTTTTAATTACACTGGTTATTTATTGTATGTAAAAGTCAGAAAATACTTTGATCAATCATTTACATAAACTACACTCGAAACATCAATTAAACTGTATTTAATTGAAAACTAAATTATTTGAAGGTAATAAAAACTTTTCAAATATATATTTTTTTATTTTCTTAACTAGTGTTGAAAGTTATACTTTTCTACACGTATGACTTGGGAATTAGATTTTTATATGGCTATCTATAAAATAAAATTTAAATATTTCTATGGGCGAATTCAAGAAAAGCCCATGCCCCAAATTTGCGCTCCTAAATAGTTTGATTAAATTTTTTCAAGAAAAGATGTCAAACTAATTTACTTGACATACGGGAACAAAACATAACAAATGCTTGCAAGGGAAATACTCTTATTTGAAAGTCATGCAAAAAATAATTTCAAACTTGAGCTTTTTTCCGGCCTGCAGTGAGCTGATTAAGAGTTTGGGGTGGTTTGGGCAGTCTGATGAACATCTGGGGTTTTTCTACTTTATGGAATATATCTGTTATTTACACTTGGAAAAGAAATTTCTTTGAATAAAAGTAGCTTGCAATAATATTCTCTATAATGTTTGTCCCATACATAATTTTACTAAAATGGTCTGTATTCGAGAAATTTGACAGAGTGCAAAATTAGAATTTTTGAGAAAATTCTTCAAATAAAAGTTGTTTGGGATGTCATTCTCTATAATTATTCTTCTCCAATAAATCATTTATCTAAAATGGACCGTATTGAAAAGATTTAAGAAAATGTGCAAAACTCAAAAACGGATAAAGTGAAAAAAAAATTAAATTTAAGTTGCGATGAATTGATTAAATTTTGGACATAGTCGGAACACCTGGGGCCTTATTCTTGTAACTATGTGAGTAGGAGAGCCCTCTCACTATTTGGCCGAAATCATATTAATAATGATAGGAGTGTTGCCAGACTACGATAATTATTATCGTATTTGTGCCTATATACGTCAAAGTTGAAAATTGCCCAGTCTTTAGGAATTTCTGTTTTCCAACTTACGAGCTAGACTGTATTTATATTGCATACACACGTTTAATACATGTTTTAGTAATATATTATTACATACGTATATTAGCTCTTAATTTATATTTTTAAATTTGCGCGCCGCGCCACTGACCAACGAACGCTGTGAATGTTTTGGTCCAGACATGCTGAGTAAGGAATAGTATATGAATTGGCCATAAGCGGCAATCGCCGGTTGTATTCTGACAATAAAATAAGTTTAATTGAATTATCGTGTTTAAATATAATTGAAAATGAGTCTGATAGTGATCTAATTTCGATAAACATATAACATTTCAGAAGTGGATGTGAATGCCAATACATAAATTTCGTGTTAAAAACTTACCAGAACTGTGTTATTATTAGCGTCGGGTGTCGGCATAAAAACTGTGACAAACAATACGAAACTATACCTACGGTGTGTTTAAATAATTAACTGAGTGAAAATAACTCTTAAAATAAAAACTTCGGTACTTGCAGAACTTTTGACAAATACTTTTTCTTTTATTACTGTGTGCTGTGTGAAACCCAAGAAACAAGATGTCCGAAAAAAATGGTTCAGGTGATATAACAGCCTTGAGGGTAACGATTTTTCTAATGTTTGCTCAGAAAATACACAAGGTAATAACAATGATAATAACAATAACTTTTAAACAGGCCGAAAGTTTATCAGAAAAATGGGATAGAATGCGTGCTAGAAAACAGAGAAAAACTGAATCCATCATGTCATATTTTCATGAAAAATTAGATTTATGTACTAAGCTAGGTTTACAATTTGACGAAATAAAAGAAGTTTTAGCTGGTATTTTTTCTAGAGACCTGGCAATGAGTTTAACAGTTAAAAATCATTATGATTCTGATCAAATCAAAGATTTACTGAGTGCTCATAGAATGAGAGCAACACGTTCATATGAAACAAATAATGTTTTTGAAAACAACCTTTATTAAAAACAATCTTATAATATACGAATGGATTCTAATTCATAAGATACAATACAAAGAAAATGTTACAAATGCGGTCCTTATAACCATACTTCCGAACAATGTAAGCGTAATCAATCTGTTTTTGTTTTGGATGTAAAAGGGAGGGACATATGTTACAAAATTGTTCAACAAAAAACGATAGAAGTTCATCAAGTTATAAACCTCCTCAAAATTTGTATCCACCAAGAAACAATGCTAATATAAGTAAAAATACTGTAAATGTTTTAGAAAATAATGCAGAAGGAGAAAATAGTTTAAATATAGAATCATATGGTGCCAGTGTTTATGTCAGAGAAAATAAAAAGTACAAACTAATACTCTGAATAAACATAATTTTTATTAAATGATTCGATTGTACGTTGCGGATTTATTGATACAGGAAGTTCCGTTTGTACAATTAAAGAAAGTTTTGTTAAAAAGTTTGCTTTAAATACAATTGATGAGGCACAGCCACTTTATGTTTTCGGAGAAAATTCAAATCCAACTTTATACACTCCTTTGGTAAAGTAATAGTTAAAATTAACATTGATAATGTTGTAGCCGATAAAGTAGATGTATTGATTGTTCCTGATAATAGTCAAGAAACTGACTTAATCATTGGTAGAAGTTATTGTGAATTGCCACATATAGCATTGCTCAAGACTGGGGAGCAATTTGTATTGGGTTATGCTAATGAAGTACCATTTAAAGATATAAATATTAAAAGCATTTTAAAAACAAATGCTAAAGTTGTGCAACAGAATATAATTCATAGTTTCGTAAAACAAGATGCATCATTTACCGAGAAAGAGAAAAAGCAAATTTTAAGAATTTACAATGCTAGTGAGCATAAGGCTATGTTAGACAAGAATAAAGATAAATTTGATTTAAAAGCTAATAATAAGGAAGGATATATCAGGAAAGCAAAGAAAATGCATAAATCGATTGTTTCAAGTGATTCTAAAGACGATGAAGAAGGCTCAAAATGAAACTGAAAGGCAGAAAGAGCGGAAATAAAACGAAACTCAGTGCCAAAAAACGAAAAAGAGAAGACGAACAGTCACCTAAGGACGTGGAAAGGAAAAATGAGAAAGTTGTAACAAAGATGTTGAGAAACCAAGATAAATAAAAAACAATGTGATAAAAAGAAATATATTCGTCACATATATGATTTCAGAAAAATTGTACTAATTAGAGCACCTCCAGTCCCCACAATAAAAAATACAACATTGCAACCTAAATATAAGGGACCATATACAAGAAATTTACCTTCCCGCACTTACAGAGAAGAAACACTTAATTGTAGTGACAGAGATAGAAAATCCAACACAGATGCCCATGTATCTGAGACGAAGAATGTCCTAAAGCCGAAGAGAATCGAGACAAACGACCCCAAAGAAATAAATCAAGACCAGTGAAATTTAAAGACTATGTTTAATTCATAAATATTTTTAGTGGTTATGTTTGTTTTATTTTTTCATATTTTTTGTTCTTTATATTTTTAATTTGCGCGCCGCGCCACTGACCAACGAATGCTGTGAATGTTTTGGTCCACACATGCTGAGTAAGGAATAGTATATGAATTGGCCATAAGCGACAATCGCCGGTTGTATTCTGACAATAAAATAAGTTTAATTGAATTATCGTGTTTAAATATAATTGAAAATGAGTCTGAGTGATCTAATTTCGATAAACATATAAAGATGTGACGGTAGTTTTTTGCAAAATCTCACTATTTCTACTGTAACGTCAGGGAAGCATATTTTCAAAAAGTACTCAGTATGGTATTTTCGTATATTGCACAGTACACATTTCATATACAGGGTGTTTTGTAGTGGGAACCATATATAATAACTTTTTTAAGGACTAATTCAAAACCCTGTACCTACTTATTGATTTTTGGGGAAAGTAATACCACTAAAATATGTGTACGTCTAAGCTTCAAAATATTCAAGGCGGCTTATTTGTTGGAAGATATTTTATTTTAATAAAAGTACAAAAACACCATGAACACCTTGTAAGTATAAAATTTCCTAAATCAATTTTAACTATTTTCTCAGTATATGATAATTTTAACACTTAAATTTTAAATCAGATATGAGCAGTTTTCGAGATACAGGGCGTTAAAGTGGAGAATTGCTGATTTTAGTTATTTTTTCTTCCAGCTGAAGAGCTAGATTGTCTTTATATAGGATATATAAGTTTTGGTGAGATGTCCATTCCGTTTAAAATATTTGTTATAGGGTGGTTCACGAATAAATCACAATATATTTTTGCAAACACTCAATATCTCTACAGTTGCACCACAGAGAAATTATTTCATCGAGTTAATATCTACCCGTTCACAATATTGAGGTCAAAAGATTTAGCTATGTTTACTTTTTATACGACAACATGGCAACTGAGTGAGACTTGTGCAGTAAGAGCTCCCGAGAAATTGATTAAAATAGTGGTAAATTTCCTGTAAAAAATTGTGAAATCTACGATATTCGAACTGTGTGTGCACGTTATATTACCAGTAGTAGTTTCAAGTAAGAAAAATAGTGTATAACGAACTTATTGCAATTAATAGATTTATAGTGGGCCATACACGTTAAATAAATAATGAGTCAGAAGAACACAAGAAGTAATTCTCAAAGTGGAATTATGGACGAAAATGCAATAGAACAACTCGTCTCAAAGGTATGTCAGAAAATTATATCTAGATTAGAAGAAAAAATTGATAAGAACTTTAGTAAAATGAATCAAAATGTTAATAATCTATCAGAAAAAATAAAAGAAATAACGGAACTAATTAAAACCAACGAAAAGGACATTTTCATACTAAATAATAAGCTGGATGCTTTGGAAACATTTCAAAGAAGCAAAATGCTAAGATTTGATGGTTTGAAAGAGAGCTACAACGAAAATTTAGTCTCCATTGCTACTGATTTGATAAGCAACACTATGAAAATCAAATGCAGCAATTTGGATATATCTAATATCTATAGACTAGGGAAAAAGACACAAGATAAATCTAGAACCATTATTATTGATTTTGTAACCTATTTAAAAAAGTATGAAGTTCTAAAAGCCAAGGGGACCCTAAAGAATACTGGCATATTTCTTAACGAAAATCTAACAAACAGAAGGTATCAGCTTCTTATGAAGGCAAAAAATAAATATGGTAAAAAGGAGGTATGGAGCTGGAATGGTCAAATATTTGCTAAGGAAAATGATATTATTAAGAAAATCGTTTCAGAGGTCGACATTTAACAATCAATAATATCCAGTGTGTGGTCGTCATTAGGTCGCACTAGCAGAATCGAATTTTAATGGCCTTTGGATTTTTCGTTTTTGTTTCTTCGCGATAAAAAGACTAATACCTACACAAAGATTGCCTATTTACGTTTAATTTATTTTTCATTTTGTGTACATGATAATATTATTTATTTTCAATCTGAGATAGCACAAATTTCTTAAAGGTTATAAATATATGTTAAATATTCTCCAAATCGT